GGAGGATCATGGGAAAACTTTCTCTTTTCTCCTTTTACTTCCCTTCTTTTTTTCTCTCTCTTTTATTTGCGTGCCCTTCTCCCTACCTGATCCTCTCTCTTCTTTTCTTCTCCTCCTCCTCTGCGAAAAGCCAGCGTCTCCTCTCTCTCTGCCCCGCAGCTACGGCACGCTAAAAACACTGACCCGAATACATTAAAACAAAACTCAACTAAAGTAAAAAGAGTTTTGTCATTTTTTGGACAAAATAAAAATTCTCTGGATATTTCCAGATGCAAAAAATAGCTCCTCTGCTTTGAATGAAACAATGCTAAGTAAAATAAACAGGCTAGATTGACAAAAGCAACATTTTACATCAATCCAGACCTTAAAAACACATCAAATCAACTTCTGCCAGCGGCAAACCGTGACTTTCAGTTTGAGGCCTTTAGTTTGAGCCGTAAATGCCAACATTCAATCAAAGAGTGAGGAATAAAGCACCTCTACAATAACGCTGTGTTCTTATGGGATTATATTAGCAACGGTGTGTGGTGTGTAGTGTGTGGTGTGTGGTGTGTAGTGTGTGGTGTGTAGTGTGTGGTGTGTAGTGTGTGGTATGTAGTGTGTGGTGTGTGGTGTGTAGTGTGTGGTGTGTGGTGTGTAGTGTGTGGTGTGTGGTGTGTAGTGTGTAGTGTGTGTTGTGTGGTGTGTGGTGTGTACTGTGTGGTGTGTGGTGTGTGGTGTGTAGTGTGTGGTGTGTAGTGTGTGTTGTGTGGTGTGTGGTGTGTACTGTGTGGTGTGTGGTGTGTGGTGTGTAGTGTGTGGTGTGTAGTGTGTGGTGTGTAGTGTGTAGTGTGTGGTGTGTGGTGTGTGGTGTGTAGTGTGTGGTGTGTGGTGTGTGGTGTGCGGTGTGTGGTGTGCGGTGTGTGGTGTGTGGTGTGTAGTGTGTGGTGTGCGGTGTGTGGTGTTCACAACAATAACTGGTCAAAAATGAGCACATCAATTATTGAATGTCATTATATTTGATTAGTTGATTAGATTATAGTTGATTAGAATCTGTAATATTTTCCCCACACTACACTTTTTAAAAAGATGTTTTTTTGAGGGTTCTGTAGTAAAGAAAACGGTCGTGTACAGGACCATGAACACTCGAAGAACCCTTAAATGGTCCTTTGCATGGCGTAGTTGTTCTTCAGATTGATGGAGAATGTGTTGTATATGGTTATATGTAGAACCTTTTTGAAAAGGACTCTATATAGCACCAAAAGTGTTGTGCTATTGTTACCATATGACCTTATAACAAAAGAAGAACCCTTTTTGGTGCTATTTAGAACCATATACAACACGTTCTCCATCAATCTGAAGAACGCTTTCATGATGCAAAGTATCCTTTAATCATGCAAGGGGTTCTTTGAGTGTTCATGGATCCACATAGAACAATTGTCTTTACTAAAGAGCCTTCGAAGAACCGTGTTTTTAAGAACGTAGTGTTGTTTTTTTTAGCTTTTCTCTTGTAAATTGCACCTATAACGTCCTGCCAGCCAACTGAATTCCCACTATCCTATCATGTAAGACATGGCACAGCTGGGATTTGAACCCTATTGCAGCTGTAAGCCCAACATGTAATTGGCTGTAGAGTTCTCAGCTACACTCTTAGAGAAGTTGGTTCTTCAGGGGTTCTTTGGTAAAGACAATGGTCCATATTTATCAAGCATTTCAAAGTAAGACGACTGATCTAAGATCAGGTTTCATCAGCTCATGTAACTACATTCAGTGTTATATAAACAGTTTGGTAAATATAGGTTAATGGTTCTATATAGAACCATGAACACTCAAAGAACCATTTGCATGATTAAATGGTTCTGTGCATGGTGAAATGGTTCTTTAGATTGATAAATAATTTGCTGTATATGGTTCCATGTTAAGCACCAAAAAGAATTCTTCTACTATCACAAGCTTGACGCCGTAACAATAGCAGAACCCGTTTTGGTGCTATGTAGAACCTGTTTCAAAAAGGTTCTATATAGAACCATACACAACACATTCTCCATCAATCTGAAGAACAATTTCGCCATGCAACAACCCAGTCAATCATGCAAATGGTTCTTTGAGTCTTCATGGTTGTATACAGAACCACTGTCTTTAGTGAAGAACCCTTAGAGAACCATCTTTTTTAAGAGTGTAGCTGTCTGCAGTGAAGCTGTGGGAAATGATGTTTTGTCCTCTAGCCGTTGGCCGAGGATCAGGGCCAGTTTTGCTGCCTTCGCCAGCCAGTTGGAGATCATTCTTGCTGTCAAGGCGTTACAGAACATGACTCAACTGGCAGATGAAGTTCCAATCACAGCTTTACACTGTCAGAGTGTCTTTACACTTCAGCTGTAGCTCAACTATTATATTACAGCCAGCAGGTGCTGTGAAAACACTGAGTTTCTGCTTTGAAACTGCTTCTGAGTTCATCTTCATGAGCTGAATCTGTTTGTTCTTCGACTAACACCAATATTACAAAGTTGGTGTTGGTTCCAGGAAGATCATAGAACGTCAAATGTTCAAGGTTGAATCACAGAGAAAATTCTAGACACTAAAATTGGATGGTGGTTCAGACAAAGCCAAATGAACCAGGTTGAATGGTGGAGAGTATTCTAGACACTTTAAGAAGACAAGAAAATTGGTAGGTAGTTTTATTAAGTTCAGGAAAAGCCAAATGATCTGTGTTGAATGGTGGAGAACATTCCAGACACTTTAAGAAGATGCCGAAATTGGTAGGTGGTTTAATTAAGTACAGAAAAAGCCAAATGATCCATATTGAATGGTGTAGAACATTCTATACTCTTTAAGAAGACGCCGAAATTGGTAGGTAGTTTTATTAAGTTCGGAAAAAGTTCAGAAAAAGCCGAATGACCTGTGTTGAATGGTGGAGAACATTCTAGACCTTTTAAGAAGAAATTAAAATTGGTAGTTGGTTTAATTAAGTTCAGCAAAAGCCAAACGAACCATTTTGAATGATGAAGAACATTCTAGACATTTTAAGAAGACGCCCAAAATTGGATGGTGGTTTTATTAAGTTCAGACAAAGCCAAATGAACCAGGCTGAATGGTGGAGAGTATTCTAGAGAATTTATCAGGGCATAAGAATTGGTAGGTGGTTTTAGGAAGTTCAGAAAAGGGGGGCGGGGGGGTGTCACACTTGGGTCTGCAACACGTGGAGGCCTGAGGAACACTGCAACAGCAAGTAAACAAACAAATGACAAATGTCTTTTTTGTTTATTTGTGATTTTTGCATGGGGGTCCAAGAGGTCTTCATTAGGCCAGCGCACAGGTGTGACTCACCAACCCAGTACTTGGGTTTGTTGGTGTTTGGTGAAGACTGTTGGGTCAGTGAGTTCTTGGAGGGATAGCTCGTAACATAGTGAATGTATTATGGAAAGCCCCGCCCTTCAAAGAAAAGAGGCAATCAACCCCCACTTTTTTTGGTTGTTATTTAAACCATATGATACAAACTAGATACGCTAATTTTGTCCAATTTTATCAGAGATTTCAAAAACATATTTTGTAAATATAAACGTCTATTTGAGATGATAATTGGTGGGGTATAAACGTCTATTTGAGATGATAATTGGTGGGGTATAAACGTCTATTTGAGATGGTAATTGGTGGGGTATAAACGTCTATTTGAGATGGTAATTGGTGGGGTATAAACGTCTATTTGAGATGATAATTGGTAGGGTATAAACGTCTATTTGAGATGGTAATTGGTGGGGTATAAACGTCTATTTGAGATGGTAATTGGTGGGGTATAAACGTCTATTTGAGATGATAATTGGTGGGGTATAAACGTCTATTTGAGATGGTAATTGGTGGGGTATAAACGTCTATTTGAGATGGTAATTGGTGGGGTATAAACGTCTATTTGAGATGATAATTGGTGGGGTATAAACGTCTATTTGAGATGGTAATTGGTGGGGTATAAACGTCTATTTGAGATGGTAATTGGTGGGGTATAAACGTCTATTTGAGATGGTAATTGGTGGGGTATAAATGTCTATTTGAGATGGTAATTGGTGGGGTATAAACGTCTATTTGAGATGATAATTGGGGGTATAAACGTCTATTTGAGATGGTAATTGGGGGTATAAACGTCTATTTGAGATGGTAATTGGTGGGGTATAAACGTCTATTTGAGATGATAATTGGGGGTATAAACGTCTATTTGAGATGGTAATTGGGGGTATAAACGTCTATTTGAGATGATAATTGGTGGGGTATAAACGTCTATTTGAGATGGTAATTGGGGGTATAAACGTCTATTTGAGATGGTAATTGGTGGGGTATAAACGTCTATTTGAGATGATAATTGGTGGGGTATAAACGTCTATTTGAGATGGTAATTGGGGGTATAAACGTCTATTTGAGATGGTAATTGGTAGGGTATAAACGTCTATTTGAGATGGTAATTGGGGGTATAAACGTCTATTTGAGATGGTAATTGGTGGGGTATAAACGTCTATTTGAGATGGTAATTGGTAGGGTATAAACGTCTATTTGAGATGGTAATTGGTGGGGTATAAACGTCTATTTGAGATGGTAATTGGTGGGGTATAAACGTCTATTTGAGATGATAATTGGTGGGGTATAAACGTCTATTTGAGATGGTAATTGGTGGGGTATAAACGTCTATTTGAGATGGTAATTGGTGGGGTATAAACGTCTATTTGAGATGATAATTGGTGGGGTATAAACGTCTATTTGAGATGGTAATTGGTGGGGTATAAACGTCTATTTGAGATGGTAATTGGTGGGATAAAAGCTTGTTACAGAGAAAATGACTTGTTAGCTACATTAGCCTCATCACTCCAATGCAAAACTAAGAAGAAACCCCAGAAACATGTCTTGGTTAATTGACTGTTCGGAGTACTTGTGTCAGATATTTTTGGTCCAACTGTCCCTTTTGGGTGTTTGTGTTAGTTGGGTCAGTGTTGATTTGACTGTGAACTCATTTTTATGTTGTTTTCTGTTCTGGTCTTCAGGTGTTCCAGATAGCATACGTCATTCTGAAAGCTGCTAACTCCCCGCGGCCTGGGAACTGGGTACTGGAACGTTCTCTGGACGGCGAGAACTTCATGCCGTGGCAGTATTACGCCATCACTGACACTGAGTGCATCACTCGCTTCAACGTCATCCCCAGAACCGGCCCACCGGCATACACGCGTGACGATGAGGTCATCTGCACCTCCTTCTACTCAAAGATCCACCCACTGGAGAACGGAGAGGTGAGGGGTGTACAGACATTTTGATTCCAGAACCTTCACTCTCTGGCCACTTTATTAAAAACACCTAACTTGTACCGCCACTCATGGCCACTTTATTAGAAACACCTTCCTTGTACTGCCACTCACTGGCCACTTTATTAGAAACACCTTCCTTGTACTGCCACTCACTGGCCACTTTATTAGAAACACCTTCCTTGTACTGCCACTCACTGGCCACTTTATTAGAAACACCTACCTTGTACTGCCACTCACTGGCCACTTTATTAGAAACACCTACCTTGTACTTCCACTAACTAGCCACTTTATTAGAAACACCTATCTTGTACTTCCACTCACTGGCCACTTTATTAGAAACACCTTCCCTGCACTTTCATTCACTGGCCACTTTATTAGAAACACCTACTTGCACTTCCACTCACTGGCCACTTTATTAGAAACACCTACCTTGTACTTCCACTAACTAGCCACTTTATTAGAAACACCTATCTTGTACTTCCACTCACTGGCCACTTTATTAGAAACACCTTCCCTGCACTTTCATTCACTGGCCACTTTATTAGAAACACCTACTTGCACTTCCACTCACTGGCCACTTTATTAGAAACACCTACCTTGTACTGCCACTCACTGGCCACTTTATTAGAAACACCTACCTTGTACTTCCACTAACTGGCCACTTTATTAGAAACACCTACCTTGTACTTCCACTCACTGGCCACTTTATTAGAAACACCTACCTTAAACTTCCACTCACTGGCACCACAAGGGCTCTTCTAATGTTACGGTTTCAAGCTTGTAACAATACCAGAACCCTTTGTGGTGCTATATAAAACCATATACAACACATTCTCCATCAGTCTGAAGCACCATGGAGAACACTGAGAACAATGAGCTCGGAGCACACTGAGGTCAGAGAACACTGAGCTCGGAGAACACTGAGATCAGAGAACACTGAGCTCGGAGAACACTGAGCTCGGAGAACACTGAGGTCAGAGAACACTGAGGTCAGAGAACACTGAGCTCGGAGAACACTGAGGTCAGAGAACACTGAGGTCAGAGAACACTGAGCTCGGAGAACACTGAGCTCGGAGAACACTGAGATCAGAGAACACTGAGGTCAGAGAACACTGAGCTCGGAGAACACTGAGGTCAGAGAACACTGAGCTCGGAGAACACTGAGATCAGAGAACACTGAGGTCAGAGAACACTGAGTTTGGACAACACTGAGGTCAGAGAACACTGAGGTCAGAGAACACTGAGTTTGGAGAACACTGAGGTCAGAGAACACTGAGCTCGGAGAACACTGAGCTGGAGGACGATTAAAACAAACACTGTGTGTAACTGTTCACCATGTTTCTAATAAAGTACTTGAGTCCTGCTCTGTGAAGCCCTCTGAAAAGAGGAAAAGGCCACTGCAGGACTGACTGACCTTCAGAGCCTCAGCTTTATATGCCTATTCAGCCTGAAGGAACCCTGACACTCCAGAAGAGCCTCCGGTGAGCGAAGGGCAGCCTGAGACTAGAGTTTTAAAAGACCAATTACAGATCAGGCTGAAGAGAAAGATGACCTGAAAACACTGAGTGATCTGAGGCTTCTGCTCATAGAGCATAGTGGTAGATTGGTAGGTAATTCTGTATGGAGGATATTGAGTTACACACAATATAGAAATACAGAGCATAAGAATAGAACACAGGAATATAGAGATACAGAGAATAAGAATAGAACACAGGAATATAGAGATACAGAGAATAAGAATAGAACACAGGAATATAGAGATACAGAGAATAAGAATAGAACACAGGAATATAGAGATACAGAGAATAAGAATAGAACACAGGAATATAGAGATACAGAGAAAATAAAACACAAGGAATAGAGAAATATATACAATATGAGAGTATAGAAATACACAGAATACAGAACACAGAGGAGAAGAAGGAGAACATATAAGTGCAAAGAACAAGAAGACAGAAATATAGACTATAAAGAAATATACATAAAATAGAAACAAAGGAAAATAGAAATACATAGACTAGAAATATGCAGAATATAGTAATCAGAGAAAATAAAAGATAAAAATACAGAAAATATAGGAATGGTACAGAATATAGAAATATAGAGACTATAGATATTCAGAGAATATAGAAATACAAACAAAAAATGATACAGAAATATAAAAATGTAGAATTATAGATAAGAAACAGAAAACATAGAAATATAGATAAAACAGAGATATAGTTAATAGTTAAATGGCCAGAGAATATAGAATTATGGATAGAAATAGAAATATAGATCTAATAGAAATATAGAGAATAGAAATTCTGTATTTTCAAAGTGGTAAACTTGCAGGAAATAAAAAACATCTTGTTTTTAATGTAATTTTGGACAAATTAATTTGGTCCATTCATCATGAAATTTACATATAATATAGAACAGGTTTTTGTTTTTAAATGATATGAAAATGTAACAAAATAAAAAATACAGAAAATGGAGATGCAAGATTTTTTTTTTCTGATAGCAGCAATATAGAATATGAAAGTATAGATAATATAGAAATATATATCAAATAGAAATATATAAAATAGAAATACAGAGAATGTAGAAATCAGAGCATATGGATATATGGAAATATAGAGAACACAATATATACAATGTAGGAGTATAGAAATACACGGAATATAGAATTTTTGAGGATATATAAAAAGGAGAATATATAAATGCCAAATATATAGAAATACAAAGAACAGAGAAATATATGCAGTATAAAAATGTGGACAATATAGAAATATAAATGAAATAGAAACAGGAACAATAGAAATACATAGAATGTGAAATTCAGTGAATATGGGGAATATAAAATTATAGAAAATTTAGAAATGGTACAGAATATAGAAAAATGGAGAGTGTAGATATAGAAAGAATATAAAAATACAAAGAGCAGAAAAATAAAATATAAAAACATAGAGAATATATAATTAGAAATAAAATAGAAATACAAATACAATAAAATAGAAATACAGAGAATGTAGAATCATAGATTAAATACAAATATAGATCAAATAAAATATAGAAAACATAGATTCATAGACAAAATAGAAATAAAGATAAAATAGAAATATAGAGAATAGAAATTTCATAACTCTAAAAAGGTAAATTTGCAGGAAAGTGCAATACATTCTTATTTTTTAATGCAAGATAATGGAGGCAATTTTGGACAAATTCTATTCACTTCATCATGAAATTTTCACACAATGTAAAACAAGTTTTTGTTTTCAAACGATATAAAAATGTAACGAAATAAAAAATACAAAATACAAAAAACTAAGATGCGAGATTTTTTTCTGATAGCAACAATATAATATATGGAAATACAGAGAATAGACATATAGATGAAATAGAAATAGATAAACTATATATACAGAGCATATAGAAATCAGAGCATGTGGACATATAGAAATATAGAGAAGACAAAACAAATATAAGGTAAAACAGAGAAGCATCTCAGTCAGTGGGACGATTTGAGCCCCGGAGTGACGGATGAAAACAAAACAACATAAAGACTGAGATGAAGAGTCAGAGTTTCAGTCAGAAACGCCTCGTTTTTGATGCTGAATGTTTACTTTTCATCCACTTTTTCAAGGATGTTTTTCTTTTCTGACAACAGTCGAACTCTATAAAACACTGTTAACTGTCCATTTGCTGGAGTAAATGGAGGTTTTTCTCTCATAGAAACGACTTAAAATTTACCAACACAAACATCCAGATGTCACGGGAGGAACGGAGGGGCTTGTTTTTCTCTCCCTTTTCCCCGAAATAATGTCTGAAGACAGAGATAGAGAGGGAGGGAGGGAGGGAGAGAGAGAGAGAGAGAGAGGGAGAGAGAGAGAGAGAGAGGGGGAGAGGGAGAGAGAGAGAGAGGGAGAGGGAGAGGGAGAAAGAGAGAGAGAGAGATAGAGAGAGAGTGAGAGAGAGAGAGAGAGAGAGAGAGAGAGAGAGAGAGACATAGAGAGAGAGAATGAGGCTGCTGTGTTTGTGTGTGTGATGAAGGACACCAGCAGGTTCAGCTGTGATGGCGTCTCAGGTCTACAGTGAAAGGTGATATTACATCATCATTACTGTCTCAACTCACTCAGACCGGCTGAATTTCTTTGTTTGGTTTTAAAGCAACAGTTACCCAAATATCATATTTACCCAGAAACACGAAACACATAGGATTAATATTTAAAAACAAACATGAAAGTAGCTTCAGCTAACACACTTAAAACGATGGTTCTTCAAGGGTTCTATAGTAACGATAAGAGCCCGTATTCATCAGACGTCTCACAGTAAGAACGCTGATCTGAGCTCAGCTTACAGCTTTTATATGACACTAAACAGAATTACAGGAACTGATTAAACCTGGTCCTGCTGAATGCTAACTGGTTAGCATTGCTGCTACTGAATGCTGATTGGTTGGCATTGCTGCTACTGAGTGCTGATTAGTTAGCATTACTGCTACTGAGTGCTGATTGGTAAGCATTAATGCTACTGAATGCTGATTCGTTAGCATTACTGCTACTAAGTGCTGATTGGTTAGCATTACTGCTACTGAGTGCTGTTTGGCATTACTGCTGCTGTGTGCTAATTGATTAGCATTGCTGCTACTACGTGCTGATTGGTTAGCATTACTGCTACTGAGTGCTGATTGGTTAGCATTACTGCTACTGAGCGCTGATTGGTTGGCATTGCTGCTGCTGAATGCTAATTGGTTAGCATTGCTGCTACTGAATGCTGATTGGTTAGCATTACTGCTACTAAGTGCTGATTGGTTAGCATTACTGCTACTGAATGCTGATTGGTTAGCATTACTGCTACTGAGCGCTGATTGGCTGGAATTGCTGCTACTGAGTTCTTATTGGTTAGTATTACTGCTACTGAGTGCTACTTGGTTAGCATTACTGCTACTGAGTGCTGTGGATTGGTTGGCATTGCTGCTACTGAGTGCTGATTGGTTAGCATTACTGTTACTGAGTGCTGATTGGTTAGCATTACTGTTACTGAGTGCTGATTGGTTAGCTTTGCTGCTACTGAGGGCTGATTCATTAGCATTACAGTTGACTGGTTGGCAACTGGGAAGCAGTTTGCACTCACTGATATCATGAACCTACATGAGGCACCATTCAAAAGTCCTATAACTGGAATTCAAAAGCACTCACAAAACATAATGTTGAAATACACGTATAATATGCTGTTTTGTGTTTATTAGATTTGCGTTTGTATAAATAAAAAAATTATTAAGCCTTCATAAATTATGCTCCATAGAAACCCATAAATTCTGGACCCTTTAGTGTTTGACAAACCCCTAATACATTATTGAGTGACAGTTCTCCTCATTATACATTCTCTGGCATTGGCCTCTATGTTAGTTACATTAGCCTCGTAGCTTCAGCGCTGATGTCACAGAAGCAAACTTCAGACGCCGAACATGTCACGGCTGATTAGCTGCACGTACTGAACGGGAGGAAACCGGCTACATTTGATTTCTTGCTGAATTATTCCTTTAAAGCTGAAAGCTGGTTTCTTTCACAAACGCACCCCATAATCTGACGCTGATTAGCGGTGTATGTACGCCATACATGGCCGGTTGACACACACACGGCTGGATATGCATGCATATGCACACTGACTGTGTGTGTGCATGTATATTTAATGCTGTTTTAACTAAGTGTCAGGCTTTCAGCTTTGTTTGTGTGCACTTCATGCTTGCTTAAGTAACTGTCAGGCTCTGAGCTGCGTGTGTGTCACAAGAAGCTAATGAGGGAGTTGGGTGGGAAGCCACGGGCTCGATTGAAATGTCACTCTCCGGCTCCTGAGGAGCCACATGCGCGCTCTGAACTCGCGCAGCAGTAATTAGCGCTGATCGTTAACCCAGAATAACAGAGCAGCGTGGCCCCCACATCACAAACTCGCTCTGAACATTAGAGCTTTCACTGCACGCTTTCACGCAAACACTCGGCGACAAGCAACTCCGCCACGCCTTTAGCTCTGTAGAGACCAGCCAAGCTGCCTGAATAGGTTACATCTGTCCACTTACAGTGCCGTGAAAAAGTATTTGCCCCTCACCTGATTTCTTCTATTTTTCCTAATTCGTCACATTTAAATGTTTCAGCTCATTCAACTAATTTTAATATACGATAAAGACAACATGATAAACCCAAAATACAGCTTTTAAATGATCATTCCATTTAGTGAAGATAAATATTTATTCAAAATATATCACCTATGTGAAAACATAATTGCCCCCCTAAAGCTAATAACTGGTCATGCCACCCTTGGCAGTAACAAGTGCAATCAAATGATTGTGATAACTTGCGATTAGTATTTTACATTCATACAGTCATGTCATACATTACATACAGTCCTTATAAATTGAGTCTGAGTGGGCGGGGCTTATCCACTGTAGGCCGAATAGGCGGATATATGTAAATAGTCTATATTGATTTTATTATGCTACTTGCATTAAAATTAGCTGGAAAAGTATTTGAGATGCAGCTTTTAGTTTAAAGATTTCAATTTAAACGTTTAACTGCAGTGTATTCTGTGTGTGTTTGGAGGAGTTCATCTCGGACTTTTATCTATCAGGGCGAATTCAGAATGTGGGATTTTCCTACTGTCCCCTGAGTAGATAAAAGCTGTTAACCTCTCTATTCTTATCAGCAGAACCCTCGAGAGTGCTGACGTAAAAATGAGCAAAAACCGTGCCAGCAAACTGCTTATCAGCTCAATCTTAACTGAAAAATTTGAGATAAATGTAACCTCTAAAAGCTCATGAAAATATCTGAGAAATATCACTTTTTTATCTGGTGAGATTCAATTATTAAAAAAACTCTTATAGGGTAAATAACTGTGTTTTTGAAAAGTTTTTAACGAGGGCATGTTTCACAGCCTCGTTACCAATGATGCCAATAAATCTGAAGGACGCTGTGTCCATCTACACCACTATTCACTCTCACTCCAAATCATTCATCCATGTGTTTCTATCAGTTCACTACACATCCACCTGTTCATTACAGTAAAGCCTTGTAGAAACAGTATAGAGGAGCTTCTTGAGAGTAGCTCAGCGATGTCTCTCCCTCACCAACGGGCTAAAGTAAATATCATATGATGAATGTATAATGTAGTAAATGTGGAGATTCATACTGGTGTTTATTCATATTTGTATAGGTTAATTTAAAAAGGGGGGAAAACTACAGGTCACTGTTTACTGAAGACAAGTGGCTGTAAATGTAAATGCTTTCAAAATCTACACGTCTCCAGATCTACACTCTTAAACGTGGCTCGGCAAATCAGATTTGTGATTTGTCCCCTAGATACACATCTCTCCATCCATCTCTCCATCCATCTCTCCATCCATCTCTCCATCTGTCTCCTTCCTCCATCTCTCCATCTGTCTCCTCCATCCATCTCTCCATCTGTCTCCTCCACCCATCTCCTCCATCCATCTCTCCATCTGTCTCCTCCATCCATCTCTCCATCTGTCTCCTCCACCCATCTCCTCCGTCCATCTCTCCATCTATCTCCTCCATCCATCCATCTCTCCATCCATCTCCTCCACCCATCTCCTCCACCCATCTTCTCCATCAAACTCTCCTTACATCTCTCCATCTCTCTCCTCCCTCCATCTTTCCATCCATCTCCTCCATCCATCTCTCCACCCATCTCCTCCATCCATCTCTCCATCTGACTCCTCCCTCCATCTTTCCATCCATCTCTCCATCCATCTCTCCATCTCTCTCCTCCCTCCATCTTTCCATCCATCTCTCCATCCATCTCTCCACCCATCTCCTCCACCCATCTTCTCCATCCATCTCCTCCCCATCTCTCCATCTGTCTCCTCCATTCATCTCTCTACCCATCTCCTCCATCCATCTCTCCATCCATCTTCTCCATCTATCTCCTCCATCCATCCATCTCTCCATCCATCTCCTCCACCCATCTCTCCCTCCACCCATCTCTCCATCCATCTCCTCCACCCATCTCTCCAACTATCTCCTCCATCTGTCTCCTTCATCCATCTCTCCACCCATCTCCTCCATCTATCTCCATCTATCTTCTCCATTTATCTCCTCCATCCATCCATCTCTCCATCCATCTCCTCCACCCATCTCCTCTACCCATCTCCTCTACCCATCTCCTCGACCCATCTCTCCATCTGTCTCCTCCATCCGTCTCTCCACCCATCTCTCCACCCATCTCCTCCATCCATCTCTCCATCTATCTTCTCCATCCATTCATCTCTCCATTCATCTCTCCACCCATCTCCTCCATCCATCTCTCCATCCATCTCCTCCACCCATCTCTCCATCCATCTCTCCATCCATCTTTCCACCCATCTCCTCCATCCATCTCTCCATCTATCTTCTCCATCTATCTTCTCCATCCATCCATCTCTCCATCCATCTCCTCCACCCATCTCCTCCATCCGTCTCTCCATCCATCTCCTCCACCCATCACCTCCATCCATCTCTCCATCCATCTCCTCCACCCATCTCCTCTACCCATCTCCTCCATACATCTCTCCATCCATCTCCTCCACCCATCTCTCCATCCATCTCCTCCACCCATCTCCCATCCATCTCTCCATCTGCCTCTCCACCCATGTCCTCCATCCATCTCTCCATCTATCTCCTCCATCTGTCTCCTTCATCCATCTCTCCACCCATCTCCTCCATCCATCTCTCCATCTATCTCCTCCACCCATCTCTCTGTTGTCACACTTATTCTCCATCCAACTGTCCATGTTTTCTTCTATCATCCATCCATCCATTCTTCAATCTATCATTCACCCTCTCCTCCATTCATCATCTATCAATCCTTTGCTCCATCATCCACTCATTCTTTCCTACCATCCATCTGCCAATTCACACACCCTTCTACCTATTTCCCATCCCTCCACCCCTCACTCCTTTTTTCCTTCCTTTCTTTTAGATCCACACTTCTCTGATAAATGGCCGCCCCAGTGCTGAAGATCCGTCTCCAACACTCCTGAACTTCACCACCGCGCGCTACATCCGCCTCAGGTTTCAGCGTATACGGACCCTGAATGCTGACCTCATGACCCTCGCCTTAAACGACCCCCGGGACATCGACCCCATCGTCACCAGGCGGGTGCGTATGCATGGAGCTGTTGTTTATTTACTCTCCAAAACCACCAGTGAACCTACACGAGTCTTCTGAGTTTATATGGAATGTTGATGATGGAAAATAGTGGAAAATCTGACATAATAAGTTTTCTTTTGGGACTATTTTGCCTCACAGCGCCCTGCATATTTTGTATCCCTCCACCATGAATGGAGTTTAAAAAGCCAAAATCTTGTAGAGGTGCAGCACATCTCACAGTACAGAGTCATTTGGGCTCCATCTGGTGTTACACTGATCACTGATGTAAACACACACACACACACCTGGGCAATGACGGGGGTTGGACTATGTCTCCACACACACACACCTGGCCGCTGTTAACTGCGGCGGGCCTGCATGTGTATTATGCGGCTGTGTGTTTCAGACAGATGGGCTTTGATTAAAGCCACTCAGTAATTAACTAATCAACTCGTTCTGCTCGACACACACACACCATCCCGCCGCACTCCTGTCTGCACTGAACACACACATGGGCTGCTAGAAGGAGGATTACATTCCTCTCAGTTTTCACGTTACGTTAGCATCAGTGTAAGGAATGAACAGTCAGGTCAGTTTACAGTTGCGAGGTAACTGATTGCACAGCTTTTCTTGGGTTAGCTCTTTCAGTCATATAGCCCCACCCAGCATTTCCTCCTTTTGGGGTCCCACTTACGGATGGCTGTGGCATCACTAGCTTTCAAACTCATAGTCACTCACGTTTGACCCCCAAAGTCCAGTTCGTTCGACTGGTGTGATTGCTCTGTACTTTGCCCAGACCAGCTTGAAGAGATGGGCTCAGGCACGGTTCAGTTGGACTGATCTAGTGTGATGGCTAACCATGCCTGAGCGCCAAACACAAACATGGCCAGGTTAATGAGGAGTCTGGCCTCTTCCTATTTCCCCCGTTATATCAAAAACAAGACTGCACAACTCCAGAGGGCGCCCGCGAGCGAGTCCTCAATGAATGGGGGTGAATTGAGCTGAAACAGCTAAAAATGAAAAGTTAAAATAGTTTCTAATCACTTCTCTAGAACTTTCCTTTAATTCTAGAAAGTAGAAGGTTTGTATTTCGCTAACACAGCAAAGAAAACTTTTTTTACAGCAAATAATTTTTTTGCAGCAGGACGTGGCATTTCTGCTACTGAGTACTGACTGGTTGGCAAGCGGAGCAGCTCACTGGACATCATGAGGCACTGTTTTAAACTCCTATAACTAAAGTACAAAAGCACTTAAAAATATGACAGCAGTGTTAAAATGTTTTATGCTGTTCAGGAAATAAATGTAATTTTTTATATTAAAGATGTTTAAGCATTTCTAAACTATGATTTTGCTCAAACGCTCCATATTAGCTCATTCATTTTGGACCCGGGAGCGCCCTCTAGCACTTGAGAAACCTCTAAGACATTACAGAGTGGTAATTCTCCTCTCTACAAGTTCTCTGACATGATGTTCATGATGCAGCTGTCCCACTTTTCAATTCATTCGAGAATATTTGGGTTAATATCGGACCTGGTTCGGTCTGAAGAATGTGAATTGTAGTTGGCAAGTAAAGCGACCAGTTCCTTCCGTATGATTGGTGATTGGTCGCTTGGACACGGTACAAGGCAACCAGGTATAGTGTGAGTGTACCCTGTCACTCGGGAGCTTCTGAAGTAGCCATAAAATGCCTTAAATTGTGTTATTTTTAATTAAATTAATTGAAATGTAAAAATTGTAGTTCAATTTTAGCTGGTTTTAAATATATATAATATAAATCTATATTTTTATGTAAGTATATAAGTTCAGAAGCTCCTGAGTGGTGCAACCATTTAAGCACTTGCGTCCCGAGTTTGAACCCCAGTGATGCCACAGCCATCCGTAAGTGAAAGTGAAAGACAGAATGCGTGGATTTGTAACTGTATCATACCGAACATCTCAATTACCTACGTTTATTTTCATAGACTACTTTTTCCCAGAAAGATGTGCATGTTAATGGTGAGACTGACCCTGTAATGACCCTGTAGTGTGTTTGTTCCCTTCCTGCAGTATTATTACTCCATTAAGGACATATCAGTAGGTGGGATGTGTATCTGTTACGGCCACGCCAAAGCCTGTCCGCTCAACCAGATCACCAAGGTGACCACTCATTCAATCAGCTGTACGTTGTTAATGCTAATGGGTGTGCGGTCTGACCTGACCTGTGTTTGTTTTGCGTCAGAAACTGAGCTGTGAGTGTGAGCATAACACGTGTGGAGAGAGCTGTGACCGCTGCTGCCCCGGCTACAACCAGAAACCCTGGATGGCTGGAACCTTCCTAACACGCCACGTCTGTGAGAGTAAGAGAGACGAGTCCTTATAGAAAAGCCTGTCCACTCTGCAGCCGATTGTTCTAGCTCCATATCTCCATAAACGAGGGCGGGTTTTTCCCCCATGTGGCTCTATTTTATTGAAAGGTGTGATTTTCCCTGAAAACAGACGCCAGGTTGAGTGTTATGAGCTTTCCAATTCATTCTTTAACCTGTGAACTGTCTCTTCCTTTGTAATGCTTGTGGAGAAAACCAGCTAAAACCCAACAGAAACGTTCTAGAACACACTGTAAGAACCCAAAAGAACCCGAATGTCAATAGAATCCACTAGAAAAAAATTTGCAGTACCAACCAAAAGAATGTAATCGGCAAAAGATTCCCAACAGAGCTAACCAGATTAATCCCAAACCCCAGTAGAACTCCAAAAGAATCAAAGGAACCAGAAACCCAAGAAGACTAATATTGATCTAACTAAAAGAACCTAATCCACAACAGAACTGACAAAAGAGCCCCAATCCCCAGCAGAAACCTACAAAAACAAATAAAGGAACCTCAAGGGTACCCATACAGAAGAACACAATCACTAACAGAACCAACCAAAAGAATCAGACTCCCAGCAGAACTAAACCAAGATAATCTAAATCTTAACACAACCCAGCAGAAACAACCCAGAAGAACCTTGCAGAACGAAATAAAGAACCTGAATCTCAAGGGTACCCATACAGAACAATCGCCATATAGAAGAGTCCCTACAGAACCAACCAAAAGAATAAGAACCCCATTAACAATTTAACCCAAAATAAAAGATCCTAAATCCCAAGGCAACCATATACAACCAACCAGAAGAACCCAATCACCAACAGAACCAACAAAACAAATGAGAATCCCAGCAGAACTAAACCAAGACAATCTAAATCTCAACAAAACCCACAGAACCAAATAAAATAACCTGAACCCCACGAAAAGAACCCATGTAGAACCAACCAGAAGAACCCACTCACCAAAAGGACCAACCAAAAGAATGAGAATCCCAGCAGAACTAAACCAAGACAATTGATCAAATCTCAACAAAACCCCCAAAACCAAATTAAATAACTTGAACCTCTAAAGGAACCCATGTAGAACCAACCAAAAGAATGAGGATCCCAGTAGAACTAATCCAAGGCAATCTGAAATCCCAACATAGCCACCCAAAACAAGCAAACCCAGAGCAGAAACATCAGTTTCTGACAAGAAAAGTCCAGAGCCTATCAGAAGAAATCCCAGAGCAACCCAGACAGAACCACTGAAAATAATCCAAAACTCAACAGAACTCAACAGAACCACAGTTCGCACTGTGAAAGTACGATTGTTCTCATGTTCCGTCTGCAGAGTGTAACTGTCACGGCAAATCAGAGGAGTGTTACTACAACCAGACAGCGGCTGATGGGAAACTGAGTTTGAACACGAATGGCGAATATGAAGGGGGCGGAGTCTGTATCGGCTGCTCTGAAAACACAGCCGGCATTAACTGTCAGTCATGCGTTGGCGGCTACTATCGGCCGAGCGAGGTGAGTCTCCTCACTCCAGCCTCAGTTCAGCTTCATTACCTGTTCAGGTAGAAGAAAAAAAACGTTCTCCACCTTTAATGCATGTTAATTTTAATAAATACTCTTAAAAAAGATGGTTCTAGAAGGCGTCTCAAGTAAAGAGAATGGTTCTGTTTAGAACCATGACTTCTATATTGAACCATTTCATGCTTAAATGGTTCTTTGCGCGGTGAAATCATTCTTCAGATTGATGGAGAATGTGTTGTACATGGTTCTGTATAGCACCAAAAAGGGTTCTTCACGTTGATGGAGAATGTGCTGTAGATGGTTTTATGTAGAATCTTTTTGAAAGGGGTTCTATATAGCACCCAAAAGAGTTCTGCTATCGTTATGATGTCCAGCTTGTATCAATAGAATAACCCTTTTGGGTGCTATCCAGAACCCTTTTCAAAAAGGTTCTGTGTAGAACCATCTACAACACATCCTCCATCAATCTGAGGAACACCTTCATGATGCAAAGAACCCTTTAATCATGCAAAGGGTTCTTTAAGTGTCCATGGTTCTATACAGAACCATTGTGTTTACTAAAGAACCCTTGAAGAACCTTTTTATTAAGATTGTACAACACATTCTCTGTCAACCTAAAGAACAATTTCACCATGCAAAGAAACATTTAAGCATGCAAAGGGTTCTTTAGGTGTTCATGGTTCTATATAGAACCATTGTCTTTACTAAAGAACATTTGAATAACCAGCTTTTTAAAAATGTAGGATGATACTGCCTCTCTTTTTTCTTCTCTTTCTTTTTTATCCTTCTCTTTCTCTTCTTCCTCTCACTCCCCATGTTCCCCCCTCAGGTGAGTCCAGAGGACCCCTACCCCTGCAGACCGTGCTCCTGTGATCCTAGAGGTTCTATCTCATCTGCATGTGTACCTGATGACACTCAGGCCAATGCAGGTAACTGTAGTATTTCTTACCCCTAACACGAATATGCCCCGCCCACTTTGGCATTTACCTGGACAGTGTTCTGTCCATGCTAACTTTTCCCTGACCTGTACTAAACTTTTAGCAGGACAATTTGCCACCTAGACAAACATTTACCTTGGCTTTGCTCCAGTTGAACAAATTCTTACCTGGACAACACACAAAAAATATCACATTCACCTGGACAGTGCTCCGCCCACACACCTTCACCTGCTCTTCTGTTTCGACCACATAGATATTCACCTGGACAGTGCTCCGCCCACACACCTTCACCCGCTCTTCTGTTTTGACCACATAAATATTCACCTGGACAGTGCTCTGCCCACACACCTTCACCTGCTCTTATGTCTTGACCACATAAACTTTAACCTGGTCTTTGCTTCACCCACAAAACTTTTACCTGGCAATGTTTCACTTACAAAACTCTTACCTGGGCTTTGCTTTTCCTACACAAACATATGTCTGGACAATGTTCCAACCCCTGAAACATTTACCTGTACAATGCTCCACCCACACATTCCAACCTTTACCTGGACAGTAGTTCACCCACACAAACCTTCACCTGTACAATATTCCACCGACACAAACGTTTACCTGTAAAATGCTCCAGCCACACACATACTTTTACCTGGACAATGCTCCACCCACACAAACCCTTACCTGGACAATGCTCCACCCATAAAAAAACCCTTACCTGGACAATGCTCCATCCACACAAACCCTTACCTGGACAATGCGCCACCCACACAAACCCTTACCTGGACAATGCTCCACCCACACAAACCCTTACCTGGACAATGCTCCATCCACAAAAGCTCTTACCTGGACAATGCTCCACCCACAAAAACCCTTACCTGGACAATGCTCCACCCACAAAAACCCTTACCTGGACAATGCTCCACCCACACAAACCTAATACGGCATTTATCTGGCTAATCCTCTGCCCCCACACCTTTACCTGAATTTTTGGTGTGCCTGCACAACATTTACCTGGATAATGCTCCGCCCACACAAACATGTACCTGGTCTTTTGTTCTGACCATATAGACGTTTACCTGGGCTTTGCTTGGCTAAACAAACTTGTACCTGGACAGTGCTCGACAGACTTTTACCTGGGCTGTGAGTCACCTGCCTGAGCTTTTACTCTAGGATTGCTGATTTCTGATTCTATCTCAGGTAGAGAATAGTTTCCTGAATAGCACCAACATTGCAAAACCTGTGCTTGTGAATTTTGTGGGTTCGAAATACTTTTATTTTAAAAACCAAGTGAACTTTCAAAAACGTTTATCTTGAAATACTTGTGCTCTCTGTGTTTTACATTAAGGGACCAGGGAGCTCACAGCTAGACGTGAGTGTGTACCTGTGTACCTGTGTACCTGTGTATGTGTGTTTTACCGTGCGTGGGCGGTTCCTGAGCGTTCTGTGTATAAGATTGTCCATATTTAACTGCTAGTGTGCTTATTTTCCGTAGGTCTGTCTGCGGGCTGGTGCCGCTGTAAGCAGGGTTACGCAGGTGAGCGGTGCGACAGGTGTGCTTTCGGCTACACTGGATTCCCTGAGTGCCAGCGCTGCAACTGCAGTGTGTTCGGCAGCATTAATCAGGACCCCTGCCAACTGCCGTGTGTGTGTAAGGTACGGGACACACACACCCACACACACACACACACCCACACACACAACAACACACAACAAAGCTGCTGTAACCTTGATGATGTTCTGCGTTTGAAAGCAAGGACATGACTGCAGGTTGTGGGTGCGTTTCTGAAACAGTTGCCGCGTCTTGCTAAATTTGGGAAAATTAATTTGTTTGTTTGTTTGTTTGTTCCTTTGAGGCGGTTTGCGTAGGGAGTCTGCAACATTTGTACAGCAGTTCTGGGCAGAACTTTATATCAACAAAAAAAACATTTATAAAGAAAAAAATAAAGTCAGTAGTCATTTAAAATAAAATGTATGGTAAAAAAATGAAATTTCATCAAGTTCATTTCTGTACAACATACAAATTGTGACTAATTGAGGCAGAAATTGGCCCTGATTTCAAATGAGTGGCGCAAATATTTGAGAGATTAGAGTGATTTTTATCAGAACACATCGTGAGGGAATCACTTCTCAAACTTCATTTACTTAATTTTACTTTATTGTCCTTTAACACAATTTCATTAATAAACAGAAAATTAATAAATTAATTGACAACACTTTATAATAACAGTGCAGAACAAATAGCAACTTAATTGTTATCTAACAGATTGTTAATGATGTTTAGTAATTATATGTATTTTTGTTGCTGTCAGAACAAAACATTCACAATGAAATGTTTAAATAATGTAAACAAAATTACATTAAAAATTGGAAAATTGGAAAAATAATAATAAAATAATAATCATTGTTTAGGTATTTAATAGTCATAACTAATCAATTCTACAGTTTGAAAATTTAAATAAAGCATTTTTGCCTTCAGATCATTCATTGATGTTCATTTGATGTTTTCCAGTGTTTTTAGTCTTTTAAACATATTTTTTGTCTGTCTTTTATATTTAAGTGTAATATATAATATTAAAGTCTGTATTTCTAAATACATTAAGTTTATTTTTTATAATAATTTATATAAGATATTATTTAATATATTTTTTTAATAATGTGTATAATATGTTATTTAATATCCACTTAAAAAAGTTTAAAAAAGTAAATAATAACCATTAAATAATTATTAACTAAGCCAAGTTAATGCATCACAAAGTAGCAAGATAATAAATAACTGCTTAATGAACTGCTTAAAACAGAATGTAGGCAGCTGCATAGCATTTATTTATAATAATAATGAATATCATAAATATATGAATTTTACATAATTAAGTAAATTTTAAATTGTATTATTTTACTGTGTAAGAATTATGACTATCAAAAAAAAGTATTAATTATTTGTGTCACATTTATTCATTCATATGTATTATAGTTTAAATACATATAATTAGATAATATTATGATAAAATAAATGATAAAGTGGTATGGTTTCAGAATATGACTACTTGCGTCTGATACTGTGCTGTAAATGTTTGTGTTACCCTAAAAAGAGCCCCGTGACTGGTGAACGTGATGATCATGGAGCCTCATCATTAGTGAACGACTCTGCCTGCTTCATTTACTTTAAGTGTTTTCTGAGCTGCCAAGTTGCAGCATTGACTTAACCTCAATACAAAGCTGCGGTATTGATTACCCTTCAGTGCTGAGTTACAGTATTGATTAAAGCTCCAAAAAATAACTCCCTCTGTTGTTTTTCTCTGGTAAAAGTGCGGTGAGGGCCCTGAAGCCCACACGTGGAGTTAAACTCGCTCTCCCAGCGCGGGGGTTTGTTTGGGCCGCTGCTCTCTCAGTGTCAAAGTGTTACATCACTTCCCCCCTTCACCAGCCAATTAGAGTCATCCTGACTGCTCCCGCGGCAACCAGATCGGCTGACCTTTGACCTCGCTTCAGCTAATTACTGGAGTGTGTGGAGTTAAATGCTGTATTTGGATGTACATAAATACACACACTCACACTAACACACTCATACAGATGGGTTTTGTACAATGTTAGGACATGGGGTCGAATGTGTGTGTGTGTGTGTGTGTGTGTGTGTGTGCGTGTGTGTGTGTGTGTTTGTGTGTGTGTGTGTGTGTGTTCATTTTTTTCATTTCCAGTAAAAATGACCATTGAATGCGTTTGGGATTATTTGGATTTTGGGAAAAAGAAAATGCTAAATCAACTCATAAGACTGAATCTTTATGTAAAAATGTACACATAATATAAATTAATAATTATATTTAATAATAATAATAATAATAATGTATGTTTGATTATATTGATATATTTATGTAATTTCAGGGACTTCAGTGCAAACTGGCTGAGCTATTATTAGGTTATAGAAGTGTGATATATATCATTAATTAATAATTCATTTATCATTTATCATCAATTCATATATATATATACCAGATATATGATATACATATATCATTTATTTTTTACTTCATTTAAACAAGGTGGCCGTCGTTTATGTCCTGTCAAAATGATGAATGGACCAATAGAAATGCTCAAATATCACTTTGAGTAAAAGCTTTTTACATTAACTTACAGTAAACGTCCTGTACTTTAGTCCTGTTTTTCTCTGGTTTACTTCTTTCTTTTTACTGCAAAGTCAGGGCATATAGTCCTCATAGTGTACAAAAACAAACAAACACACACACACACACACACATACACACACACACACACACACACACAGCTGCCCTAACGAGTTGACAGACCGCTCAGGTTGACCGGCCGCTGCTCACTGCAGCTGTATAGATTTCTGGCGTTTATGCTTGGCAGAGTTTCATTAATGAGCTTCGTTATGTAACTGATGCCCACTGTGGCCAACATGGACGCCTTTATTTACCAAACCTAACCCAGCGGGACGGATCGACGGACACACAGACGGACAGACAGAAAGACCAACTGTGTTTTATTCTGACATAACTTTTAGTAGATACTGAATAATTCATAGTAGTTATGGGATAATAAATAGTAGTTACTGAATAATTTATGATGTTTATATGATAATTTATAGTAGTTACTGAATAACTCGCTAGTTATGGGATAATTTAGAGTAGATACTGAAAAATTCATAGTAGTTACTAAATAATACATAGTGGTTGTGGGATAATTAACAGTATATACTGAATAATTCATAGCGGTTGTGGGATAATTAACAGTATATACTGAATAATTCTTAGCGGTTGTGGGATAATTAACAGTATATACTGAATAATTCATAGTGGTTGTGGGATAATTAACAGTATATACTGAATAATTCATAGTGGTTGTGGGATAATTAACAGTATATACTGAATAATTCATAGCGGTTGTGGGATAATTAACAGTATATACTGAATAATTCATAGCGGTTGTGGGATAATTAACAGTATATACTGAATAATTCATAGCGGTTGTGGGATAATTAACAGTATATACTGAATAATTCATAGCGGTTGTGGGATAATTAACAGTATATACTGAATAATTCATAGCGGTTGTGGGATAATTAACAGTATATACTGAATAATTCATAGCGGTTGTGAGGTAATTAACAGTATATACTGAATAATTCTTAGCGGTTGTGGGATAATTAACAGTATATACTGAATAATTCTTAGCGGTTGTGGGATAATTAACAGTATATACTGAATAATTCATAGCGGTTGTGAGGTAATTAACAGTATATACTGAATAATTCTTAGCGGTTGTGGGATAATTAACAGTATATACTGAATAAACACGTAGTTGGGACTGAGTTGCTCATTTTCATTCATCCTCTCTGTGCTGCGCTGTTCTTTTCCTTATCGTGATTGTTCCTCGGTGTTTGCTCTGCTGCTCCGTGTCCGTCTGAACGTTCCTGCTGTGAGCGAGTTTGTAAAGGTGCTGTATAAATCAGGGTTTACTGTGTGCGGCTCTGGAGATCCTCCACACTCTCAGTGAGGGTGAAGTGGGTAATGAAATGCAGAGACACACTCGGAGCTTTATCTGCTCAGGTTTCCATCAAACCTACAAACACGTGTTTGTTTTCCTTTTTCTTTTCCTGTGTGTGTGTTTGTTGTCACGGTGTGTAGGAGTGTGTACAACCCAGCTTCCTCACCCAGCTGTTGTTCTTCTCTCTCTCTCTCTCTCTCTTCCTCTCTTTCTCTTTCTCTGTCTGTCTCTCTCTTTCTCTCTATCTTTCTCTCTTTCTCTGTCTGTCTCTCTCTCTCCCTCTCTCTCACTCTCTCTTGCTCTTTCTCTCTCTCTCTCTCTCTCTCTCTCTCTCTCTCTTTTCTCTCTTTCTCTTTCTCTGTCTGTCTCTCTCTCACACTCTCTCTCTCTTTCTCTTTCCCTTTCTCTCTGTCTTTAATCTCTTTCTGTCTCTCTCTCCTTCTCTTTTGTTTTTCTATATCTTCCTCTTCCTCTCTCTTTCTATTTCTCTCCCTCTCTCTCTTTTCTTCCTCGCTTTCACTCTCCTTCTCTCTCCCACTCTGTCTGTCTTTAAACTTACTCTGTGTCTTTCTCTTTCTGGCTCTCTCCCTCTCTTTTCTGTTTTCCTATATCTTTTCCTCTCTCTCTCTCTCTCTCTCTCTCTCTCTCTCTCTCTCCTCGCATTCTCTCTTTTATCTTTAATCCTCTCTTTCTGTCTTTAATCTAACTTTCTCTTTCTCTTTCTCTCTCTCCCTCTCTTTTCTCCTTTTCCATGTATCTCTCTCCCCCCTCTCTCTTTATTTTCTCTTTCTCTTTCTTTCTCTCTTTTATCTCTCTCTCTTTTCCTCTCTCTCTTTTTCCTCTCTCTCTCTCTCTCTCTCTCTCTCTCTCTTCTCTCTCTCTCTCTCTCTCTCTCTCTCTCTCTCCAGGATAATGTAGAGGGGGTAAACTGTGACCGCTGTAAGATGGGATTTTATAATCTCCATGGAGACGGTTTCCACGGGTGCGAGAAGTGTTACTGTTCCGGAGTGTCCAGCCGCTGCAGGGAGTCGCCGTGGAGACGCAGTAACGTACGACGCTCACTGTGTTTGTGTACGGGGACGCGGGAAGGCGGGTCAAGTTGTGGGGGCTGAGATTTAAGTGACATACATGTGTGTGAGATGAGATGAGAGGACCACACACACACACACACACACACACACACACACACACACTCACACACACACCACACACACACACACACACACACACACACACTCACACACACACACACACACACACACTATTCTCTCTCTTTCTACACAAACTTTATGCAAATGAGCTGAACAAAGACCAGATTGTTAATACGTGTGTCGCTGTTAGTGGAGCTACAGTCTGAGATCATGTAGGAATGTTTATACTTCAGTTCATTTCACTGTCCTTAATTGACAGTATTGGGCCACAACTCTGCGACACTTTACTCTGAACGCTAAACGCAGCTGTGCATGGCTACTACACTTACACACACTCACTGAGCACTCTATCAGGAACACCTCCTTGTTTTTACACTGACCGTCCATCTTATCAGCTCCACTGACCATATAGGTGCACTTCTAGTTCTACAGTTACAGACTGTAGTCCATCTGTTTCTCCATCTGATTGTATTCAGGGCGTTAAATCCTATATTTTCTCATATTACATCTTAAATTGAGGTCAGTTTATGACATTTGTGTGGTTTCATGAACCATATCTCCTTTCTATATGACCTCTTTATCCCTCAGAATTATACAGGCTGTTTACTGTGTGTTTAAGACTGATATATGTAAATGAGCTCTGATCTGAGTGGCTGCTCCTCATTCAAAAGGCAGTCTGGGCTGAAACACTCCTTATAACTTCAATGTGAGTGGGCGGAGCTAAACGGTAGTAGGCAGTAACAGGTGGATGTAAGTATTGGTGTTCATTGAATTCAAAACAGGCCGTGTATGTTGGGCCTTTCTTCATCTTCTCAATGTGTTCATATCTTCTTAAATCCCCCTTTAAAGCTCTTCATATAACATAATACTCATATGTTTCATATCTAAATGCTCCGTTATCTTCATCACTACTTTCCAAAACCGCTGCAGCAGCTTCAGCAGCTGTAAACTCTCTGCACGCCGTTTCACATGAGTCTCTGATGTGGACTGAATGAAGAATGAAGGGTTTCCGGCATGATGGTCAGTGCTTAGTGATTTACTGAGTGTCCATTGGTCAGTTTCACACAGAATGAGGATGGACACACGAATCCACCAGTTCCACATGGTGAGAGGCAGATGACATGTATCTCAGCCCCTCTTCATAGGCTCATAACTCCGGACTCGAAACCTTAGAGATTTGAGACTCGACTCGGACTCTCACCTCAGAGATTTGAGACTCGACTCGGACTCTCACCTCAGAGACTCAACTCGGACTCTCAACTCAGAGACTCGAGACTCGACTCGGACTCTCACCTCAGAGATTTGATACTCGACTCGGACTCTCATGTCAGAGACTCCAGACTCAACTCGGACTCAAACTTCAGCGACGCGAGCCTCAACTCAGATCCTCACCTCAGAGACTAAACTCAGACTCTCACCCGAGAGACTCGAAACTCGACTTGGACGCTCACCTCAGACACTCAAGTCTCGACTCGGACTCTCAGACTCGACTCGGACCTCAGAGACTCAAGAATCAACTTGGACTTGAACCTCAGAGACTCAAGAATCGACTTGGACTCGAACCTCAGAGACTTGAGACCTGACTCTGACTTACATCTCAGAGACTCGAGACTTGACTCAGACTTTCACCTCAGAGACTCAACTCGGACTCACACCTCAGAGACTCAAGACTAAACTCGGACTTCAATCTCAGGGACTCAAGACTTGGCTCAGACTTTCACCTCAGAGGCTCAAGACAAGACTCAGACATACGTCTCAGAGACTCAACTCGGACTCACACCTCAGAGACTCGAGACTCAACTCAGACTTGAATCTCAGAGACTCAAGACTCAACTTGGATGTACACCTCAGAGACTGCACTCGGACTCTCACCTCAGTTTCACACAGATTGTAGACGGACACACGAATCCACCAGCTCCACACGGTGAGAGGCAGATGACGTGTATCTCAGCCCCTCTTCATAGGCTCATAACTCCGGATGTGAGTCTCGTAGGATCTCGTGATAAGATGGAATGGAAAGGGCGACTCTACAGATTCAGGAAGTGTTTGAACTGGATTTCTGAGCTGGATCATCACAGAGATACAGACACAGATATAGAAACATTTCATCTGGCTTCACAAGACTAGGAAAGCCCCCTCAGTGCCCCCCCAAACTCCCCGCATCCCTGTGTTTGTGTTCATTAGTCTCCCTTTATCAGCTCTCAGGGTGATTATAGAGATTCAGCCTCACTTAGCAATAAACACACTTACAACACACACACACACACACACACACCGCCACCCTCAGTGCAGTTGTGTGTAAAGGTCAGAGGTTAATGGTGTGTTGGGGGGGGAACAAGGACAGTGGGGCAGTTTGAGGTGTGCATGTGTCCGTCTCCACAATTAACCTGACCTTGAATTCTCCCTTCAAAGCTCGGCTAACTTTAATCACTGCCCACTGGGCTGTGTGTGTGTGTGTGTGTGAGAGTGTGTGTGTGAGTGTGTGTCTGAGTGTGTGTGTGTGTGAGAGTGTGTGTGTGTGTCCTTAAATGCTAGTAATCAATCTCAGATGAACTCCTGTGCTGCGGTTAAATAGATCATTTAGCTAAAGGCCTGGACTCTCATCTCTCTCTGAGAGTGTTTATGTGTCTGTGTTGGGAGTGTTTAGCGTTTAGCACACGCTAATATTCACATAACACTAACACTGAGATTATTAACTCTCCTTTGATGCGTCTGTTTAGTCCTTTGAACTCTAAATGTCTGGTTTGAGGGCCCAAATATGCACCTTAGCTAACATAAAAAAAATAGTTGATAATAGTTAATAAATAATTAATAGCAAATACGTAATGAAGTGTATACAGAATAATTTTTAATAGTTACTGCATAATTCATAGTAGTCACTGTTTAATTCACAGTAAGTAAAGTTCATGTTAGTTACTACATAATTCATAAAAGATACTGAATAATTCATAAAAGATACCGAATAATTCTTAGTAGATACTGAATAATTTATAATATTAGACAATGAATAATTCATAGTAGTAACTGTATCATTTATAGTATTTACATTTTCATGCTCAATATATCTACACTCTTACAAATTATGGTTCTTCAGGGGTTCTTTAGTAAAGAAAATGGTTCTATATAGAACCATGAACACTCAAAGAACCCTTTGCATGATTAAATGTCTCTGTAGATTGATATTCAGATTGATCAAGAATGTGTTTTATATGGTTCTATCACCCAAAAAGGTTCTTCTGTTGTTCCACTGTCAAGTCTGTAACGATAGAAGAACCCCTCTTGGTGCTGTATAGAGCCTTTTCGAAAAGGTTCTATATCGGAGCATACACAACACATGCTCCATCAATCTGAACAACACTTTTACCTTGCAAAGAACCATTTTATCATGCAAGGGTTTGGTTCTTTCTTGAGTAAAGAACTCCTGAAGAACCATCTTTTTTAAGTGTATACCTGGTTTTTGTTTTTATGCACTTTCCTATTAAAATGAAATAACAGTGAAATTTAGTGTAAATAGATTTTTTATATTATTATATTGTATTTCATTCTGAATAATCTTCAAATTTTGAGCAAATTTTGAGCAAATATTCTCTTTTTTCCTACTATCCTTTTTTCTATAACCATTATATTACCCCAAATGATTATATTTAGAACTTTGCAGTTACCTTACACTCACCTACTTAATAGCTAGAACGTAAAGAACTTAAACTTAAAGAACCAATTTCACTAATTTTTTCAAAATTTCTGCATAATTAAATGGTTGAGATGTAAACAGAGTCGTTCAGAGTGGTTTGGTGTGAAACGCTCTGTTCTAGAGAAACTTACCAAGTCAGAACTGTTCACAGTGGTGGTGATAGGAACCAGACGTCCACCTCTAAAAGCTCCCTCACAGAAAGTTACTACAGGAAATGGATATGAATTCACTGCCTGATGACTGAGACACTGTTTTATGATAGTTTTGAGCCTTAAACTCCATTCATGGTGGAGGAATACATAATATGCAGGGTGCTGTGAGGCAAAATAGTCCCCAGATAAAACTTTTCCATTTTAATATGTCATGAAAAATGAGGAATAGGTATGAGAGAGGACAGACACACTGATTAGACTGATGTATATACACCCACACAAACACACGCTCACATAAACACTCACACCCCCCCCACACACACACACACATATATACCTAAACTCAGACTGAATGTAAGCATGAAATCTCAGACTAAACACAAACAGAACACATAACGTTTCTGATCCTCTGCGAGTTCAGGAGTTTTCAAATATTTATCTGACCCAGAAAACTGCTTTATGAGGTGACAGGAAGCTTTCTACATCCAAATTAGCCCGAAAACTGTCAAACTGCAGCGTGAGGAGAGAGAGAGAGAGAGAGAGGGAGAGAGAGGGAGGGAGAGAGGGAGAGAGAGGGAGAGAGAGAGAGAGAGAGAGAGAGAGGGAGGGAGAGAGAGAGAGAGAGAGACTCATTTGTTTACACACATACACAGAGAGCCTGAGATTCTCGAAAAATAGTTTTCCCTTCTACAAATTACAAACAAGCCCGAAACCCAGCGCTGCTCGTGTGTTAGTTCATTTCTGGGTCAAGGTAGAGAGTCTTCTGCTTTATGATGTTCACTGAATCAGCTTTCATACTCAATTTCAAGTGAAAACGTCAATTAAGTACAAGTTATGCACTTTTAAAGAGCTTAGATATAAGATAATCCACTTCCTTAATGAAGGAAAGTCAAAGAAAAATAAATGAGTTTCCAAAACTGAAGTTTAAAAACTGATTAGAAGCTACAGAGAAAATGTGCCTCCTAACAACCACCTGGAAGACCTGATAGACCCCCAAAACTGCCCCCATCAGATAAACAGCACTTAAAGCTTTCATCTCTGAGAGAGAGGAGAAAATCAAGCTGCTTCAGATCTGAAAACATCCACAGGTGTTTCTGTCCATCCTTCCACTGTGAGAAGACGACTCAGCGCTGTGGGTCTGAAAGGATGTGTAGCTGATCAAGAAGAACCTCACTGAGAAAAGGAGACGGACACATCAAACAAAGAAGCTGAACGATGGACTGACCACCCCAGAGTCCAGACCTCAACACCACTGAATGTGTTTGATTACTTCAGAAAATGACCAACCAACTTCTAAGGCCCAACCCCATTTCGAAGTGTCTCTTTCGCCCCTTAGAACTGAGTTACAGGGTAGTGGTTGAAATCTTCCCTCTGAAACGGGACCCTCAAATAAAAAGAGCATCACTTCATTAACAGCTACCAGCGCTGCTCTGTAGGCGACCCTGCCAGTCTGCAGTGACAGCAGAGGAGGGTAAAGTTCAGCTCCTCACTGCTGGGCTTTAGTTACATTAAGGGCATCATATGCCTTCAAAGAGGGGGGCAATTATTTATTATCGCCCACCCCCAATTCGTCAGTGATGTGAAGCTGAAGTCAGATATTCGCCAACTTCTCGTTCTTAAATAGTCCAGTGGTTCTGATACCTGAGGCACCAGAATGTAACTGCTGCTCCATTTAAGGTAGAACAGGAAATTTAGCCAGCTACCGAGACACCAGCACTACTAGTGATTATTTATGCTTGTTATGAAGAAAAGAACAATAATACACTGAAACGGCATTAAACTAAGATAAATACAAGGGTTATTATAATTTCTTAACATAGAAAATTCTCACATTTGTGGGTTTCTTTGGCCTCTTGTGCTCCATCTGGTCAGCCCTGTAGCCCTAACACTTCACCCTACCCCTCTGTCTCAACAAGAATCGGGACACCCTTAGACGTGAACATACAAAACTGAGGGCTAAGGGCTCAGTGGTAGGGGCGAGGGGTGAAATGGGATTGGGCCTAACACTGAACTTTGGAGGTGTGTCTGCAGATTTCTTTAAGAAACTGAAAGTGAGTCGCCTGAAAAGAATGGACTTCATGGCCAGTTTGACTGGAAATGAAATTAATAAAGGTCAGTGTCTGAGGTTTGCAGGCGTAATGAGTGTCATCGTTCAGTTAATGCCATATTTTTGTAAAGCCCTTGAATTAATACAGAAAGTCAACACTTCAACCACATCTTGGCTGTTCCTTTTCAAAAAATTGCGAAATTACAACATCTGTGTCGCTGTCCAAATATTTATGGACCTGACTGTATACATTTAAATGGCTGCACTGGAATTCACGTGTCTGCATGTGTGTCAGCACTCGTGGTGGTTGACCCAGGTGTCATCATCCTCCTCTTTAATCATTCTCTCTCTCTCTCTCTCTGCAGCTGACTGATATGTCTGGCTGGTTTCTGACTGGCGCGGATGGGGAGGGGCTTGTGTGGGCGGTGCCTAACAGAGACACGCCCCATGTTGTTTCTGTCAGACACAGAGAAGCCCAGCCTCACCTGGCCCGGCCCTTCTTTTGGAGCGCTCCGCCCTCTTACCTGGGAAACCAGGTGAGTTTGAGACACATCAGAAGAAAGGCCAAATATTCATATTTAACACTGACTGTCTTTTTGTTATGCATTCAATTTACTTTACTTTTGATCTGTAGAACATAATTTTAAAGTAATGAATTACTTTTATATTTGCATTCAGTATCAACAGGTCTGCACTTCTGACTTTGTTCTGTTTGTTTTGAAGTCAAAACATGATAAAAGACATTCGTTTAATATAGTTCATGTAATACAATACATATATATCAGTACGGCCTTTAGAACCATCAGTTCAATATGTGCAATATATGCTTAAATGGTTCTTTGCATGGTGAAATGGTTCTACAGATTGTTGGAGAATGTGTTGTATGTGGTTCTATATTGATCCTTTTTGAAAATGGTTCTACAGAGCATATATATATATATATATGTGTATATATATCGCTGCTGTTGGAACAAAACTTTGTATCTCCAAAATTTTACAGGATAACTAAAAACATGCTCTATTTTTAATGTAACCAGACGGTTTTCCAAGTCATTTTGGGACGTTTCTTTTGGTCCAATCATCATGAAATTTACACACCATGTAAAGGGCAACAGGCATTTTTAAGTTTACGAGATACGAGGTTTTGTTCTGTTGGTGGTGATATATAAACACTATATTACAATAGTAGTTATTACTATGGGACAAAAAAATGCACACAGGACTAAATGTATCAGCTCTCATGGAGACAAACTGCTTCGACCTGAAGTTCCTTATAAGGGCGAGGCGTTGACAACTTCAGAGTCTATTAAAGGAGAATTCTACCATTTTTTTGTTTTACCCTCTTATTGTCAGTGTTTAACATCTCTAAATAAATGATTAGCTTAATTTTTTGCTTCACATTTATTGACTTTTTTCTAATTTAATTGGGACAATTGGGTGAACATGAAGTTAACATGATGACATGTCTTTAATGTCCTGCACACTTTTTGTACACAGTTCTTCGGTGTCAGTTTGACAGCTGGCTGGTTTAGCTGCACAAAACATAAATATTTTTACACATGTAACACACAATTGACCCCAAGGATAAAAGATGTTAGTAAATGTGAAGCTGGCAGGAGGGTTAATTCTGCATAACTCAGTGTGTGAGATGTAAACAGAGTGATTCAGAGTGGTTTGGTGTGAAATGGTTCAGATGTCTTTACAGTGGTGGTGATAGGAACCAGGGGTCGCCATGACTACAACACAAATATAGACATTTTATTTACTATCCAAAACCACCAGTGAACCTACAAGAGTCTTCTGAGCTTTTATACTGAAGTTGTTGGATAAAAACCTCATTACAAACTTTACAGGACTGGGAAAAAAAATGTTATACCAAGCTATTTTGGACCATTTTTATCGGTCCATTCATCATGAAATCGTCATGCAATATAAAGTGCAGCAAATTATGCCAAAAAATGAAAAAAGAATGGAGTTTAGAAATATATTTTACACCAAAACCTTCTCAAAACTATCAGAAAACAGTGTCTCAGTCATCAGGCAGTGAATTCATAACCATTTCATGTAGTAACTTTCTGTGAGGGAGATTTTAGAGGTGGATGTCTGGTTCCTATCACCACCACTGAGAAACAATTCTGACTCTAGGTTCAAAAATTTTATACCAAACCACTCTGAAATGACTTTTACATGCTAGTTAATTATGCAGAAATTTTTTTAAAAATTGGTGGAATTCCCCTTCAGTATATCTGACTGTGTCTGGGCTTTTTTATGAAGGTGTGTAGCTGTGCTATTTACTGGTGTGTGGAAATGTGCTGGCCGTTAGAGTGATTGAGCGCTCTCCTCTCGCTCTCTGCTCGCTCTCCGCTCGCTCTCCGCTCGCTCTCCGCTCTACAAAGTCAAAGAAATAGCATCAATTACACACACACACACACACACACACACACACACACACACACACACACACACACACACACACACACACACACACACTCGTCTGCTGCCTATCAACTGACTACTGAGGTATCAGACATGATGGTGCATTATGATGATAGATGAACCCAGGCACGACCAGGCACTGTGTAGAGTGCACACACACACACACACACACACACACACACACACACACACACACACACACACACACATGCACGTACACAGCAAGTGTGTAAACGCTGCAGATTGATGCTGTGGCTGGGCGGTTACTGAGAGAATATGCATGATTGGGCTCCACTGATTGTTTCAACTTTCTATGAATATATTTACCGAATATTCTCCCTGTCGGGGTGGGTGGGGGCTGGGGGGGTGTTGAGGAGGTGGGGTGTTTACTGAGAGAGTGAGTGTTGTTGTAGAGGGAGGGGGGTCAGTCTAGAGAAAAAGAAGATGCCAAAACAAGTAGAAAACTGCTAAAAGTATAAACAAACTCAACAGACACTGTTAGAAAAAAGGGCTCTGTACAGCGTACAAGTAAAGTAAACGTCTCAAAAAAGACGGTTCTGCAAGGGTTCTTTAGTAAAGGCAATAGTCACGGGGAGAAATGTGGAAGGAACATAAACTTAGTAGGGTGGGACAAACTGAATATGAATTTCTACTCTATCCAATGGCTCGTAAAGGCAGCTCTCAGTAGGGGGCGCTGGTGTGCTCACCAACACTTTCTGATGCACAGCAAGCCTGTCATTAGCCAGTGGATGTAGTTTAAGTTAGCATGGCTGAACAATCCCCTAAAAACACCAATTAAGCATCTAGAAGAACACATTAAAAATAAACAGGCACCTGTGCAAATAGACCCCAGGAGGGTCTTGATCCTGTGCCCCTTTTGTCCGAGTGCCCTCTTTGATAGCGGTTATAAGAGTTGTGCTTTATATTGGCTGCAGCAGTCGTCAAGATCAGTGTAGTGAGGGTCAACTCAGCCTCTCCATGGGAATAGAACTTGTGGTCTTGCTTGGGTTCTATGAGATTCATCGCTCTTTGGCGCCCCCTCTGGTACAGTACTGACCACCTGTGGTTCTCTTCAGTAACTCTAATATCTAATGCAGTGGCCACCAGAGCCTCCTCCTGGAGATCTGCACTCTTGTAAAAGATGGTTCGTTGGGGGTCCTTTAGTAAAGGGAATGGTTCTATTTACAACCATGAGTTCTTTGCATGGGAACTGGTTTGTCGGATTGATGGTGGGTGTGTTGTATATGGTTCTAAAACGCACCAAAAAGGGTTCTGCTATTGCTACTATGTCAAGCTTATAACAATAGAACAACCTAGGAATCATTTCACCATGCAAAGGACCATTTAAGCATGAAATGGTTCTATTTAGAACTCATGGTTCAAAATAGAACCATTGCCTTTACTAAAGAACCCTTAAAGAGACGCCTTTTCTTTTAAGAGTGTGCCCTTACACAACAACGCTCGTAAGGGCAAATGTGTATGTTTGTATTGTGTTTTAAAATATAATAAAATAAATAAAATAAATAAATAAAAATAAAAGCTTGAGGCAAATACAGCCTTAGCGCAGTTAGCTCAGCTAATCACTTCAGAGTGGGCGGGGCTAAGCTGATGTAGGCTGAATGGGCTGATCTATGCAAATATGTTCTGACAGATATAATGAATAAAGAACAGGCTGTTTTTGCAGTTTAGTTTTCCATGCACACTCTCAGAAATGAACGTCCTAAACTGTCTCTGGGGCACCCCTCTTGTCACTGGGGGGGGGGCCCTCGAGGGTCCATCTCGGTACCTTTAGTCAGGGAACATAACTGAACCATAATCCACTGAAATGATATGTTCTAAGCTGTACTGACTCCACACACCCCGTCTCGTCTCCAGGCTTTTATTTTACTGTTCTGTTTTAAAACATTCGGTTATGAAAAAGGTACAAATACGAACTTTTCACCAGGAAAAACTTATTTAAGGTTCACAATCAGACCTTAGAACCACTGTAGAACCTTTGAGGGAACATTTACATTGTTTGTAACTTGATGAATTATATATATATATATATATATATATATATAGATATATATATATATATATATATATATATATATATTCTATTAATGTTTACATCCTAAATCAACAAACTTTAATATATAAAAATTCTATAGGTTCAGTCTTCTCTCTGCTTCTTCCTGCATTGCTGGACGCTGTCTTGGCCAGTGTTTCACAGATGTGTGGGTTTGTTTATGTTTGTCTTTGATCTCCATTGTGAATCAATGAAACACAAACACAGTTTTGGGAGGTTTGTATGACTGAGCGGGCAGGTCGTGGGTGGGCTGCACTAAGGCCTGTGTTTATTCCTGCTGGCAGGGCAGGTGGTAGTGTAGAGGAGTCCGGGGTTAGTGGGGGGGCTGTAGCAAACTTTGGGGCAATTGGTGCGTGAAGGGTGGCAGTTATATCAGAGCTTGTGGGAAGTAGGTTATTTACTTTCTTTGCTTATTTAACAGAGACAGTGCACAGTAATCATTATTGTATCATTTTCATCTGCAGTCCCTAAAATGTCAGGGGTTTGGGTAATTGGTGGCTGTATGAAGGGTTAGGCAATTAGGGGCTATGTTTGGGTTTGGGACAATTGGAGAATTGATATTGGGTCAATTGGGGTAGAGGTTGGGGTAGTTGGAGGCTATATTGGGTTCTAGAGCAAATGATACATGGAGGCTGGGGAAATTAAATGCAATTTGAGGGGTTGGACCACTTGAGGGTGGAGTTTTAGGGCAGTTGGAGGTTACATCAGAAGCTGGGACAATAGGGGAGTGGAGGATGGAAGGTCTCTGAGGTAGCTGGAAGGTATATGAAGTTGGTTTCAATTGATTGATGGAGATTGGGGCAGTTGGAGGCCATACGAGGGGGTTGAGGCAATTAGGAGGTGGAAGTTGGGCAACTGGAGTTTGAGTAATTGAGTGGGGGTTGGAGAAATGTGCTGTGTCAGGGATTGGGGCAATTAGGGTGTAGGCTGGGGCAATTATACAATATATGAGCGGTTGGGGCAGTTGATGGAGGTTGGACCAACTAAGGGCTACATAAGGGGTTGGGGCAATTGAGGGAAGGAGGTTAGGGCAGTTGATGGCTAATTCAGGAGTTAGGGCAAATGTGGAAGTTAGGGCAGTTAGGGCAAATTGGTTGATGGAGGTTATGGTAGTTGGTGGCTATTTGAGGGGGTTGGGCAGTTGGTTAATGGAGGTTATGGTAGTTGGAGGCTATATGAGGGGGTTGGGGCAATTGGTTGATGGATGTTGGGGCAGTTGGAGGCTATAAGAGGGGGTTGGGGCAATTGGTTGATGGAGGTTGTGGTTGTTGGAGGCTATATGAGGGGGTTGGGGCAATTGGTTGATGGATATTGGAGCAGTTAAAGACTATATGAAGGGTTGAGGCAATTGGTTGATAGAGGCTGGGGCAGTTGAAGGCTATATGAAGGGTTGAGGCAATTGGTTGATGGAGGTTGGGGCAGTTGAAGGCTATATGATGGGGTCCGGGCAATTGGTTGATGGATATTGGGGCAGTTGGAGGCTATACGAGGGGGTTGGGGCTATTGGTTGATGGAGGTTATGGTTGTTGGAGGCTATATGAGGGGGTTGGGGCAATTGGTTGATGGAGGTTATGGTAGTTGGAGGCTATATGAGGTTGTTGAAGGCTATATGAAGGGTTGAGGCAATTGGTTGATGGAGGTTGGGGCAGTCGAAGGCTATATGAAGGGGTTGGGACAATTGATTGATAGAGGTTGGGGCAGTTGAAGGCTATATGAAGGGGTTGGGGCAATTGGTTGATAGAGGTTGGGGCAGTTGGGCAAGAGGGGTTGGGCAATTGGTTGATAGAGGTTGGGGCAGTTGAAGGCTATATGAAGGGGTTGGGGCAATTGGTTGATAGAGGTTGGGGCAGTTGAAGACTATATGAAGGAGTTGAGGCAAATAGCTGATGTAGGTTGGGGCAGTTGAAGGCTATATGATGGGGTTGGGGCAATTGGTTGATGGATATTTGGGCAGTTGGAGGCTATACGATGGGGTTGGGGCTATTGGTTGATGGAGGTTGGGGCAGTTGGAGGCTATATGAGGGGTTTGGGGCAATTGGGAGGTGGAAATTGGGCAACTAGAGGTTATTTCAGGGGGCTATATCAGCTGTAGGCTATTTCAGTGTTTGGGTAAAGGGAGGGTGGGGGGTTTGAGCCTATTTAGGGGCAGATTGAGGGCAGATTTTGAGTTCTTAGTGGCCCCATGCTGTCTGCAGAAGGACAGGGGGTTGTTTTTAAAAGAGAGACCGGCCTGGTTTTCATTTCCTGAAGGATGGGCCTGTGGATACACTCGTCTTTTCTCTCCCACGTTCTCTCTCTCCTGCATTTCTCCTCTTTCACTGTCGTCCCACTCTCCTGCTGCTGCCTCCTCGGCTCTGGACTTTTCACACGTCTGTCTGACTGTCAGATTATTCATCTGTCTTTTCTTACAGATCAGATTCTCTCTCTTTTTGTCTCGATTCATAACCAGCTCTTGTTTATGTTCGTATAACTCTTTTTCTTCACACACTGCTTTTCTTTTTCTCTTCTTATTCTCGCAGCTTTGTTCGTGTTTTAGTCTCGGAATAAGTGAACAGGTGTTTGTGAGTGTTTTTTTTTGCTGAGTCTGTGTAAACAGCAGCCCAGCTGTGCTCTTTCTCCTCCGCGATATTCACTCTCTCTCACTGAGGCTGGAGCGACGTCTGATATAGCATCATAGAGAGTTTTTAATGCTATTCATACTTAAGTGAGTAATGATATATTTATTTACATACAGGCACTTTGTTCATTGTTTGTTTCATTAAAAAAAATTAATAGTCAGCCTTATTACTGTATGATGTCCTATTGTGTCCACATCAGGCCAGTTTGTTGTGCTTGCAACGGCATCACACATCGTCTAAAACATCTCATTTAAATGCCAACAACAGAAAAGGATTAGAAACAGTCACATATTAGACCTATTATGGGTCATGATGAATAAAACTCAATGCAAAGTAAATAAACCTTTTAGCAGTGTCTAATTTTGGCTTTACTGAACAAACTGTATATGTATACATAATGGGCGGCACAGGAAGAAGGGCCTGGGTTCGATTCCCTGGCTGGGTAGCCGGGGTCCTTTCTGGGTTTGCTTGGTCTCCCAGTGCCTGTGTGGGTTTCTCCCTGGTGCTCTGGTTTCCTCCCACAGTCCAAAGACATGCAGTCAGGCCAACTGGAGATGCTAAATTGCCCCTAGGTGTGAATGTGTGTGTGAATGTATGTGTCTGTGTGTCTGCCCTGTGATGGACTGGCGACCTGTCCAGGGTGTTTCCTGCCGTCTGCTGGGATGGGCTCCAGCTCCCCTCGCGACCCAGAGCGATAAGCGGCATAGACAAACAGTGTGTGTGTGTGTGTGTGTATATATATATATATACATATATATATATATATGGAGTGGAGGTTGGGGTAGTTAGAGGGTAATTGAGGGGTAGGGGCAATTGGAGGTTATTTTATGGAATTGAGTAATTGGAGGGGGGAAGTTGGTGGTCAAATTGGAGGCTGTATCCGGTGTTTGGGCAATTGAGAGGGGGAGGTTGGAGCAACTAGGGGCTATATAAAGGGGTGGGGCAATTGAGTGGAGGAGGTTAGGGCAGTTAAAGGCATATTGGTCTTTATGTCCAGTATGAATTGTCTCTCGTGGCTGAATCCAGAGTGGTTCTCTGTTAGACTCACTGAGCTCTGTTTGGATGCAGTAGCCGTTATTTTAAGAACTGTGTGCTGCTCTTTGTAGGGAGAAGAGAGCCGCTTTGAGATTCTACTTGCTAAAATAATTAGCGATAGTGTTGTGTCACCTGAGCCGAATACTGTGCGCTGATTGGCTGAGCGGATTTATGGGGTTCTGAGGGAGAATAGCGCTGGTGTTTGACCGTTTCTTCTGTAAAAAACAAACTTGCAGTGCCTGGATAATTGACAATAATGACTTTAATGACCAAACATACTTTCAGAATGTGCTGCGTGTTAGAATAACTCACCACAGTCATATATAATATACATTTTTGTTGTTTTTTTAGTTTTTGACATAATTTAAAATCGCCTGTTGCCCTTTAAATTCTATGCAAATTTTGTGAAGAATGGACCAAAAGTGATTGAAAATGACTTGAGAAAAAAGTTTGGTTTCATGGACTTACATTCAAAGTAAAGAGCAGTTTTTATTCCTTTGCTTATATATATATATATATATATATATATATATATATATATATATAAGCAAATATATATATACACATCGCTGTTGTCAGAACAAAACCTCGTATCTCCTCGTAAATTTATTTGAAACAAATTTGGTTTCATTTTATTGTAATCAGTGATTCCAAACTTTTGAAACGTAGTGATTGTTCTGTGTTTACATCCTGTAAATCATAACATAGAAGTATCTCCTCATCACAGACACTAAAGTTGTACAGATTGAAAGTTCGGAATCTGCACTTTCCGCACAGTTTCTCCACGTTTGAATGAACCTCGACTCAAATCATTCAAATAGGAACACAGCCTGATGTTGTTATTGCTGCCGATAAGTGAACATTCTCAGGGTTAGAGTTGAATAATATCCGAGTGCTGCTGCGCTTCACTCAGTCTATTCAGCTCTGCTGGAGGACTGCAGAAGCCTGTGTGTAGGAGGGAACAATAGAAGACTCAGTAGCACAGTAACCCTCTCACCCGGAGCCTCAGAGGGAGAGCGCGGAGAAAGAGAGCGTAGAAAAGGTGAAGGAGTGAAGGAAAGAGGAGGAGAGGAGATAAGATGAAGGGACAGAGGGGAGGAGTGTGTGGCCTATCTGCCCACTCTCTGGAACAGTGATTAGGTGTGTCAGTGCAGGTAATTTAGTGTAATTGGGTCATTTTTTTCTCCCATCATAACCTGCTTTTCCATTTCGGAGCAATTGGGCCCAATCGATACGCTAAAAACAGAGAAATTTAAAACACATTAGCCGTTCGATGGGAAAGCAGCGCGTTGTGTTTCTCACCTGCAGCGTCGCCGTGTTTCTGTGTGTTTGCAGATGTTGGCGTACGGAGGACGTTTAACCTACACCGTCTCCTGCGACTCGGAGGATGCAGACGGACTGAATGAATTCACAGACAGCTCTGATGTCATAATTGAGGTGGGTGTTTCCTCAGTGTGCAGAAGGGGTGCCCAAACTTTTCGTTTTCGGGGGCTAAGGTCCGATGTTTGTGGTGGGCCGAGGGCCAAAAGACAAATAAAGAACAACAGTAGAAGCTTTTAATAATGTATTATTACATTACAATAGAGCTGAATAGATAGATAGATAGATAGATAGATAGATAGATAGATAGATAGATAGGAAGTTTTTAATTATGTGTCATATTATTTTAATAGAGGGGGGTGCAGGAGAGAGAGGGAGAGAGACAAAGGGAGAGAGAGGTGGGAGGGACTGAGTGAGAGAGAGGGAAGGAGAGCAAGAAGAGACGAGATGAGACTTGAAGAGAAGAGAAGAGAAAATGAGAGAAGAGATCAGAAGAGAAGAGATGAGACAAGATGAGATGAGATGAGATCAGAAGAGAAGAGAAGAGAAAATGAGGAGAGAAGAGAAGAGAGCAGAAGAGAAGAGACAAGACAGGACGAGAAGAGAGCAGAAGAGAAGAGACAAGACGAGACGAGAAGAGAAGAAAAGAGACGAGACGAGAAGAGACGAGAAGAGAAGAGACGAGAAGAGAAGAGAAGAGAAGAGACGAGAAGAGAAGAGACGAGACGAGAAGAGAAGAAAAGAGACGAGACGAGACGAGAAGAGAAGAGACGAGAAGAGAAGAGAAGAGAAGAAAAGAGACGAGACGAGAAGAGAAGAGAAGAGAAGAGACGAGAAGAGAAGAGACGAGATGAGAAGAGAAGAGAAGAGACGAGAAGAGAAGAAAAGAGACGAGACGAGACGAGAAGAGACGAGAAGAGAAGAGAAAAGAAGAGAAGAGAGCTTTGTATTCAGTAGATGAGTTCAGAGGAAAGTGCAGTGAAGGAGAAGCTCTTGTTTCCATAGTTGCTCATTTCTAAGCCAAACACAGCTGACAGTATGAGTGACTTCATGCTATCAGTGCTGCACACAGACGAGCAGGAACATCAAATAAAGCGGAGTGGAGGTGATGGGATTGATCTCTTTAAGAGAAACGCTCAGAGACGGTCGCGCGATGTTTTAAATGAGCTAATAAAGAGGCCTCCTCTCGCTGAGTTTCGTCCTCCATTGAAAAATCGACGCGCTGTCAGCTCTCAGCTTCGCTCACTGTGTCGGTCTGTTTGTGACTGTGAGGATATTAAACGTAAGAACTGATCCTAGATAAGCATTTCATCCAAATCACACCAACTATTGTATCATTAGCAGATGAACTAAAACAGTACTGTATTGCAGGGGAATTCCACCAAGTTTTCAAAATTAATAAAAAAAAATAAGCATAATTAAATGGTTGAGATGTAAACAGAGTCGCTCAGAGTGGTTTGGTGTGAAACGCTCTGTTCTAGAGAAACTTACCGAGTCAGAACTGTTCACAGTGGTGGTGATAGGAACCAGACGTCCACCTCTAAAAGCTCCCTCACAGAAAGTTACTACATGAAATGGTTATGAATTCACTGCCTGATGACTGAGACGCTGTTTTATGATAGTTTTGAGAAGATTTTTGGCTTTAAACTCCATTCATGGTGGAGGGATACATAATATGCAGGGCGCTGTGAGGAAATAGTTCCTGAAGAAAACATTTTTTTTTCAGATTTAATCATCATCAACATTCCATATAGACTCAGAAGACTCGTGTAGGTTCACTGGTGGTTCTGGATAGTAAATAAAATGTCTATATCTGTGTTGTAGTCATGGCAACCCCTGGTTCCTATCAGCACCACTGTAAAATAAATCTAAACCATAAGTTTCTTTAAAACGTCCAACCACTCTGAATGACTCTGCTTACATCCTAACCAACCATTAGGGTTAGGTTTAGGTTACTGAGGTTTAAGGTGAGGTTTAGGTTTAAGTGTAGGTTATTGAGGTTCGTGTGAGGTTTAGGTGTAGGTTACTAAGATTAGGTTTAGGTTTACATGTAGGTTAATGAGATTATGGTTAAATTTAAGAGTACATCACTCAGGTTAGGGGTAGGTTTAGGTGTAGATTACTGAGGTTCAGGTTAGGTTAAGATTACTGAGATTAGGGTTAGGATTAGGTTACAGATGTTAAGGTTAGGTTTAGGTGAAGATTACTGAGATTAGGCTTAGTATAAGATGTAGGTTACTGAGGTCAGGGTAGGTTTTGTTGTAGGTCACTGAGGTTAAGGTTAAGTGTAGGTTGCTGAGGTTAGGGTTAGGTTTTGGTCTGGGCACAGCATTACTTGGCTACAGTAATCCAGAAACAGTGTTGGTCCTCACTACATATAGTAAAACAAACGCATGCGTGTGTGTGTGCAGCAGGTCATTATTGATGGTTAAACCCTGTTTTGCATGTGCACACTTCATTAACTCAGGGCAAACAGAAAGTACAGTTCCCATAAATCCTCATTCACACAGCCTCTTCTGAGTGTGTGTGTGTGTCCACGACGCCTCATTTCCCAGCAGTCAGTGGGGTGGCAAATAAACGAACAGAAATCATAGCCCATAATCCTCCAGGATGATTCCGCTCACGATGTCGGAGAAACCGGAGAGTTCAGAGTTACTCATCATTGCGTCAACACACACACACACACACACACACACACACACATACATACACACACACACACACACACACACACATACATATACACACACACACACACACACACGCACACACACACACACACATACATATACACACGCACACACACACACACACACACTTCTACGATGAATAAATCACCTTGTTGTCCAAAACCCATTTAAAGTCTCTCTCTCTCTCTAACTCTCCCTCTAACTCTCTCTCTCTTTCTGTCTCATTCCACAGACACACACACTTCAATTTCCACATCTTTTCACATTACCCACACACACGCGCACACACACACACACACATGCACACACAAACCCAAAGCGAATACAAACCCCTTAATACCTTCATCCCTCCATCATTTCTTCTCAGGGAGAGAGAGAAAAGCAGTGTAAGCAGAGAGACTCTGACAGACACCTGAATCTCAAATGGCTCCCTACACCCTACAGAGTGCACCATATAGACCATGACATGAAGGCTGCTAAACAAATGCTGTGAAGTAAAGGCTTCTTCTACACCCTACATAGTGTACTACATATCCCCACCCCCTACGTGGTGCGCTACAAACAGCATTACATCAAGGCTTCTTCTGCACCCTACAGAGTGCACTAAAAATGCTACTCTCTACAAGGTGCACTACAAAGGCCATGACATAAAGGCTTTTTCTCAACCCTACGTAGTGCACTACAAAAGCTATTATAATTCAGGCTCCTACTACACCCTACATAGTACACTAGACATCCATACTTCCTGCCTAGTGCACTACAAAAGCCATGAAAGAAAGGCTCCTACTACACCCTACATAGTACACTAGACATCTGTACTTCATGTCAAGTGCACTACAAAAGCTATTATAATTCAGGCTCCTACTACACCCTACATAGTACACTAGATATCCATACTTCCTGCCTAGTGCACTACAAAAGCCATGAAAAAAGGCTTCTTTTACACTCTACTTAGTACACTAGACATCTGTACTTCATGTCTAGTGCACTACAAAAGCCATGAGAGAAAGGCTCCTACTACACCCTACATAGTGCACTAGACATCCATACTTCCTGCCTACTTCCTGGCTTCTTTTACACTCTACTTAGTACACTAGATATCTGTACTTCATGTCTAGTGCACTACAAAAGCCATGAAAGAAAGGCTCCTACTACACCCTACATAGTGCACTAGACATCCACACTCCCTGCCTAGTGCACTACATGGAAATCTCTACTGATCTGGTTCTTCTTCCCTCTGTGAATAATTAATAGGGTAAATAGGGCCCTTTCCTCTCTGTCCACCAGGGCGGCGGTCTGCGTCTGATCAGTACCGATGAGGTTCTGGACGATGTGAGGCGGGTCACCTGAAGCCCGGGAGTTTCCAGCACATGAGCTCTGGTTGGCCGGTCAGTAAGAGAGAGTTCCTCACTGCCCTGGGGAAGCTGAGCCGCCTGCTCATCAGAGCCTCCGGCTGCTGGGGAAACAGCACCATCTACAGGTGGAGCCCACAGAACTGCAGGCTTGTAGAGTCACAGCTGAGAGATCTTTCTGGGCTTCACTGTTGTGATTACATTTCGGTTTTGCATTGTGTGTGTGTGTGTGTGTTTGTGTGTGTGTGTGTGTGTGTGTGTGTGTGTGTGTGTGTGTGTGTAGGTTGGGCTCGGTCTCTGTGGAAGTCGCCTCTGAAGACTCCAGCTCTGACGTTGAGGCCACTGCAGTGGAGATGTGTGACTGTCCTCACAGTTACAGTGGAACATCCTGTGAGGTAAACAAACCTCACACTTCCATTGTTCTTCTGTAGGGAACACCTGACACATCTAGGTTGTTGCTAAATAATTTTGAAAGTATGCACCTAAAAAGATGGTTCTTCAAGGGTTCTTTAGTAAAATCAGTGGTTCTTTTTAGATCATTTATATTATATTTAATCAAGCTAGTAACAATAGAAGAACCCTTTTTGCTGCCATGCAGAACCATATACAACACATTCTCCATCTGAAGAACGATTTGACCATGCAAAGAATCATATAAGCTTGCAAATGGTTCTTTATAGAATTCGTGGTTCTAAACAGAACCATTGGCTTTACTTAAAAACACTTGAAGAACCGTCTTTCTAAGTATGTACTTTAGCAAGAGTCACATTTCATGCAAGCAATTTCCAGAAACAATTTTGGCAGCATGAGTGTAAATGTCACAGCGCACCCTGTAGGCAGGCTGGTTGTAACAATTGCTGAGACCCCGTTTATACCTGGTCACTTCATGTGTCGAGTATCAGGATTGTTTCCTGATGAGAGTTTCAGAGTTTTGGTTGTACCAGGAGGAGTTTTAGGTGTACTGGGAGGAGTTTTAGGTGTACCGAAAGGAATTTCAGTTGCACTGGGAGGAGTTTTGGTTGTACTGGGAGGAGTTTTAGGTGTAGTGGGAGGAGTTTTAGGTGTACTGGAAGGAGTTTCAGTTGCACTGGGAGGAGGTTCTGTTGTACTGGGAGGAGTTTCGATTGTATAGGAGGAGTTTCAGTTGTACTGGGAGGTGTTTTGGTTGTACTGAAAGGAGTTTTGGTTGTACTGGGAGGAGTTTCAGTTGTACTTGGAGGAGTTTCAGTTGTACTGGGAGGTATTTTGGTTGTATTGAGAGGAGTTTTGGTTGTACTGGGGGGAGTTTTGGTTGTACTGGGAGGAGTTTTGGTTGTACTGAACCATTTCATGCTTAAATTGTTCTTTTTTCATGGTGAAATGGTTCTTCAGATTGATGGAGAATGCGTTGTATATGGTTCTATATGGCACCAAAAGGGTTCTACTATTGTTACGTTTCCAGCATGTAACAATAGAAGAACACTTTTTGGTGCTATAAAGAACCCTTTTCAAAACAGTGCTGTATCGAACCATATACCGCACATTTTCCAACAATCTAAAACAACATTTCACCATGCAAAGAACACTTTTCTTTCCTTTCAGTATTAATGCTTCTATATAGAACCATTTTCTTTACTAAAGAACCCTTGAAGAACCATATTCTTTTAAGTGTGTAGAGCTGCTGCCACTGTTTTCCATTCTTAACCACTGACCCAAACCTGCTTAGACTACAGCTCGTATTCACAGTTAGTGCCGTATGTAGAACTTCCAGAAGGACTAGAGTGACGTTTTTTCTCAGGTTCCATTGTAATTCAAAGCCTGATTAGTTGATTCCTCTGTCACATCCTAATTATGTTGGTAGATCATCTAACATGTAAGGCCTTCAGTTCAGCTCCTAACCCAATAGGAGAGCAGCTTGAATGTTTCTAACAGAGAAAACAATCCTGATTGGATGATTTTTCAGTTAAGCATTTGAAGATTTTTGTTTCCAATCAAAACTTAACGATTAAATAATATTGCTACTACAATAAAGTACAATAAATACAATTAAATACAATAAGCGTGGTAATTATATCGAATATAAATTATTTAAAAATGACATGTTTTTATATTTAACAGACATTATTAGGCGTTTTCTAAGACACTAATGTCGCCGTCGTTGTAGAAGTTCTGAATTCTGGTGGAAAAAGTTCCTCCAGTTCGGAGAGCCTAGTGTGAGTGTGGGTGTGAGAATGTATCAGCACTTGGGGTGGCTGAGTCAGGTGAATCCTTCAGATAGTTATTATAGCTCTCTCTCTCTCTCTCTCTCTCTCTCTCTCTCTATTGATCCTGGATCTCTCAGTGCTGACCCAGCAAGCGGTCACTTCGGCCAAATCTCAGCAGAATCTCCACTCATCATCATCATCAGAGCGGAAAACAGGATCAGAGAGAGGAGGAGCGCAGAGCATGGGGATGGAGAAAGAGAAAGGGAGGATGAGAAAATGAGAAAAAATGGGGGAAAAGAGGCACGAGAAAGAAACAGCACGAGAGAGAGAGAGAGAGAGAGAGAGAGAGAGTGAGATATATATATAGAGAGAAAGAAGCAAAATGAGAAAGAAAGACAGACAGATAGATAGAGAGAGAGAGAGAGAGAATGAAATGAGAGAGAGACAGAGAGAGAGAGAAGAGAGAGAGAGAAAGAAGCAAAATGAGAATGAGAGACAGACAGATAGATAGATAGATAGATAGATAGATAGATAGATAGATAGATAGATAGATAGATAGATAGATAGATAAAGAAGCAAAATGAGAGAGAGAGAGAGAAGAGAGGTGTAAATGCTTACAGTTCTTTTAATGGACAGAATTACTGTTTCTCTCCTCTTTTCCTCCTTTTTTCTCTCCTTTCCTCCTTTTCTCTTCCATCTGCCTCCTTTCCTTCCTCAACTCCTCTCTTCCTTTGTTCTTTGCTCCTCTCCACCTTTCTTTTCTCTTTTCCTCCTGTCCTTTCTCCTCTTTTCTCTTCTCTTTCCTTTTACTTTGCTCCTCTTTTCTCCTCTTTCCCGTCTGTCTTTTCAACTCTCCTTTTTTCTCTTATCTTTCCCTCCTGTCTTTCTTCTTATCCTCCTTTTCTTACTTCTCTCCTCCTGTCTTTCATCTTCTCCTTTTTTCCTTCTTTTTATGCCCTGTCTTTCGCCCTCTGTTCTTTTTGTCTATTGATTTCCATTTTGTCTTTCCTCCTCTCCTTGTTTTCTCTTCTATTTCCCTCTTTTTTTTACCTTTCTTTGTTTTCTATCATCCTTCTCTCCTCCACTCGTTCTCATTTCTCGTTACCTCTTTATTCTATTTTCCTTCTTTCTTGTTTTCCTTATTTTTGTTTCTTTCTTCTTCCACTTTCCTTTTTTCTCTTCTCCTCCCCTCTTTTCTTTTTCTGCATCTTCTCTTTCTTTTCTCTTTTCTTGTCCTTGTCCCCTCTTTTACATCTCTGTTCCTCCTTTCTTTCATGTTTTTCTCTTTTCTCTTTCTCCCTGTGTCTCCATTCGTTTTGTTGTCTCTTTCCCTCCTGTCTTTTCTGCTCTCCTCCTTTGCTCTTCTCTCCTCTCTTGTTTTTTTCTCCTCTGTTCTTTATCTATTTTCTCCTCTTTTTTCTTTTCCCCTAAATTGTTTCCTTCACTTTTTTCTTCACCTTTCCCCCTGTCTTTCTTCCTCTCCTCTTTTTCCTTTCTCTTGTCCCTCCTGTCCACTCCTCCTCTGCTCCCTCCTCTCTCGTTCCTCTCCTCCGGTGCAGAATGACAGTGCAGGTTGGCATGGTGTTGACAGGGTCAGAGCGCACCGCAGTGAGAGGCAGGAAACGAGGGAAAAAAACGAGTGTGATGGGATTGGAGCGGTCGTTTGTAATATCCGTCTACCACAGCAGTAAAGAGTGTGTGTGTGTGTGTGTGTGTGTGTGTGTGTGTGTGTGTGTGTGTGTGTGTCTATGGACGGACACACACACACATTCCAGTCAGAAAAAAGTTTGGTCTTAGAAGTACACACTGAAAAAGGATGGTTCTTCTAGGGTTCTCTCGTAAAGGAAATGGTTCTATTTAAAACTATGAACACTCAAAGAACCCTTTGCATGATTAGATGGTTCTTTATATGGTAAAAGGTTCTTCAGATTGATGGAGTGTGTGTTGTACACTCTTTAAAAAATGCTTCTTCAAGGGTTCTTTAGTAAAGAAAATGGTTCTACTTAGGTCCATGAACACTCAAAGAACCTTTTGCATGAACAAAGGGTTTGTCCTCATTAAAGGGTTCTTCTACACTCTTTAAAAGATGGTGCTTCAAGGGTTCTTCTGTTGTCACACTGTCAAGCTTGAACGCTTTTGGGTGCTATACAGAACCAAAAAGGTTCTATATGGAACCGACTGTAGCACATTAATGCATGTTTTCCATCAATGTGAAGAGCCTTTGCATGATTAAAGGGTTCTTTGAGTGTCCATGGTTCTATATGAGCATTTTCTTTACTAAAGAACCGCTGAAGAACCATCTTTTTAAAGAGTGTATTGTTGTGATATCAAGCTTGTAACAACAGAATAACCATTTTTGGTGCTATGTAGAACCATATACAACACGTTCTCCATCAATCTGAAGAACCATTTCATGGTGCAAAGAACCATCTAAGGATCCAAGTGGTTCTTTGAGTGTTCATGGTTCTTTACGGAACCATTTTCTTTTTATAAAGCCCCTGACGAACCATCCTTTTTAAAAGGGTGTATCAGGTCTTCCAGGTGGTTGTTAGGAGTCTCATTTTCTCTGGAGCCTTTAATCAGTTTGTGATCTCCAGTTTTACTTTCCTTCCTTACGCAAGTGTATTATTTTATATCTAATCCGCTCAGACACGTCATGATCAAACATGAACGAACTGTACACAATGGGAAACGAATGAAATGAAGGGTGGTCTCTGATATTTGCACTGTACTGTGTGTATTCCAGCAGACAGGAACACACACCTCTCCTCTCTCCAGATGTTTCCCCTTGTCTCTCTGTGCGTGTTTAACCTTCAGCTGCTCTCACACTGACAGCTGCAGATCTCCTCTTCATTAGATACTGAAGTCTTCAGACTCTAACCGTGATACATCAATTACAGCTCTGCTGGATTAATTAATGTCAGCGAAAACAGGTTACGAGCTCAGAGCCATTAACGAGTAAAACCCATCACGCTATAAATAAATCGCTCTGTTTTTATCTCCTTTCTACAAAAAAAAAGCTTCAGCGCTGATCTTTTGTTTTTTATTAGCTCTTTGACTGATCATCATTCTCATATAAACAGATTCAGACTTCATAAGCCATCAGAGAACATCTGTAAGAAAGATTTTAATTGTGGTTGTTGTTAAGTTATTATAAGCACATGCATATTATTATTACAAGTATACAATTAGTATGGGATATATTCCATATGTACACATGCACAGATCAGCCATACCATTAAAACCACTCTACACTCAGTCCATTTTATCAGCTCCACTTACTATATAGGTGCACTTTGTAGTTCTACAGTTACAGACTGTAGTCCATCTGTTTCTCTGATACTTTGTTAGCCCCCTTTTACCCTGTTCTTCAGTGGTCAGTACCCCCATGGACCCTCACAGAGCAGGGACTATTTGTGTGGTGGATCATTCTCAGCTCTGCAGTAACACTGACGTGGTGGTGGTGTGTTAGTGTGTGTTGTGCTGGTCTGAGCGGATCAGACACAGCAGTGCTGCTGGAGTTTTTAAACACCTCAGTGTCGCTGCTGGACTGAGAATAGTCCACCAACCAAAAATATCCAGCCAACAGCGTCCTGTGGGCAGCGTACTGTGTCCACTGATGAAGGACTAGAGGATGACCAACACAAACTGTGCAGCAGCAGATGAGCTATCGTCTCTGACTTTACATCTACAAGGTGGACTGACAAGGTAGGAGTGTCTAATAGAGTGGACAGTGAGTGGACACAGTGTTTAAAAACTCCAGCAGCACTGCTGTGTCTGATCCACTTGTACCAGTGCAACACACACTAAAACTGCTCTGTGGGGGTCATGTGGGGTACTTGGTCATTAAAGAACAGGGTAACAAAGTGTCAGAGAAACAGATGGACTACAGTCTGTAACTGTAGAAGTACAGAGTGAAACTATATGGTCAGTGGAGCTGATTAAATGGACAGTGAGAGTAGATAAATGTGTATGTTGTGTGTTGTATTGTGCAGGTGTGTGCAGAGGGCTACAGAAGGGTTAATGGGACTGTGCATCAGGGAGTGTGTGAGCCGTGCCAGTGCCATGGACACGCAACACACTGCGATGATGTCACCGGACACTGCCTGGTAAGTATTAGACAACGTATGTGTGTGTGTGTGTGTGTGTGGTGTGTGTGTGTGTGTGTGTGTGTGAGCCTTTCAGTACTTTGTTGTGTATTGTGGTCGTTGTTGTTTATTGTTTCTGTTTTTTATTTTTACCTCTCTCTCTCTCTCTCTCTCTCTCTCTCTCTCTCTCTCATTCTTTTGTGTTAGTCCTCACTTGTTTATCCATTCTTTCATATGACCCTCACAATACAACAATGCTTTGACCTTTGATGCTGAACAGCCATTATGACCACAAGAATGGCACACAGTGTTGTTTAATGTTCTTTATATGATCTTGGACAGAATGTCATGGTCAGTTTTGTTAGAATACTGCAGCTTAGCGTGGGTTTGTGCGTCATGCGATTTGTCATGCTGCATCTATTTTGAAGTTATTTAGACTCACATGATGGATGAGTTTTGTGAGACAGTACGATGCCCTATATGATGGTCATATACACTGAAAAAATGGTATCTTAGCAAGTAAAAGCATCTTAAATGTAGTCAGTATATCTAATATTTCTTATTTTGCTGTTGTATAAATGTTATAATATTGTTTAACTTATTTCTGGACATTTTTTACTTGAAAATGTATTAATACATTGGCAGATTACTTGTTTTAGACATTATTTTTTAATTGAATAAAACTCTCTGCATTATTTCTCAAAACAAGTTAAACCATCTGCCAAAGGATTATGACACTTTGAATAGAAAAAAATGGCTTAAAACTAGTAAAATGTCTAGAAATAAGTTGAATAATCTTATAATATTTTTAGAACAGTCTCATAATGAGATCAATCATGTTTAAGATGTTTTCACTTGCTAAGATATTTTGGAAGTGTATTAGTGAAATAGTACAGAATCTCTGCACATGATAGATGTGTGTTTATAAGACAAAACAATGTCTCACGTGATGGTTATGTATTTGTGAGACAGAACAATGCTTCATCTAATGGTTGTCTATACATGGAAGAGCACAGTGTCTCATGTGATGATTGTGTTTTTATTAGAGAGTACAGCATTTCACAAGTTGTGCACTTGTAAGACAGTACAATGTCTTATGTGATGGTTATGCACTGGTGAAATAGTACAGCGTCTCACAAGATGGTTATGCATTGGTGATATAGTACAGTGTCTCACGTGATGGTTATGCATTAGTGATATAGTACAGTGTTTCACGTGATGGTTATGCATTAGTGATATAGTACAGTGTTTCACGTGATGGTTATGCGTTGGTGATATAGTACAGTGTCTCACGTGATGGTTTTGCGTTGGTGAAAGTACAGTGTCTCACGTGATGGTTATGCATTAGTGATATAGTACAGTGTTTCACGTGATGGTTATGCATTAGTGATATAGTACAGTGTTTCACGTGATGGTTATGCACTGGTGAAAGTACAGTGTCTCACGTGATGGTTATGCATTAGTGATATAGTGCAGTGTTTCACGTGATGGTTATGCGTTGGTGATATAGTACAGTGTCTCACGTGATGGTTTTGCGTTGGTGAAATAGTAGAGCGTCTCACGTGGTGGTTATGCATTGGTGAAATAGTAGAGCATCTCACATGATGGTTACGCATTGGTAAAATAGTAGAGCGTCTCAGGTGATGTTTATGCATTGGTGATATAGTACAGCATCTCACATGATGCTTATGTATTTGGGAAATAGTACAGCGCCTCACATGATTGTAATGCATTGAGGAAATAGTACAGCGTCTCACGTGATGGTTATGCATTGGTGACATAGTAGAGCATCTCACGTGATGCTTATGCATTGTGGAAATAGTACAGCATCTCACATGATTGTAATGCATTGAGGAAATAGTACAGCATCTCACGTGATGGTTATGCATTGGTGATATAGTACAGCATCTCACGTGATGCTTATGCATTGTGGAAATAGTACAGCGTCTAATGTGATGCTGATGCATTGGTAAAATTGTATCGTGTCTTATGTGATGGTTATGCATAGTAGACCATCTTATTTGATGTTGTGTATCTGTGAGAGTGCAACGTCCTGTGTGATTTCTGTGTATTTGTTAAAGGGTATGGCATCTCTCATGAATTTGTGAACTTTTTAAGTATCTTTTTTCTTTCTTTCTTTCTTTTATTTTATCTATTTTTCATCACACCTCCTCCGTCTACTCTCTCCATTCTCCCTCTAGTGTGTGTTTGCTGAATAGACATCACTAATACACTCTGCAGGGTTTATTGCGCCTGACGAAGCGTGGAAGAGCCTAAAAAAACAGCACATCTCATTTCATTAGCTGCCAGCGCCGCCGCCGTTTGGCCCTGTGCCGCCACATAATGTTTAATCAGGTGACATACACTCCTGGAGTCACTCCCGATTATTCTACAAATCACCCACCGTACAGATGGGGTGGAGGACGGGGGGAGCTGTGGGTTCCCCTCGTCTTTTCACAAAATAAAGCCCCAAACCCAGGAAATGCCAACACTGAAAATTGGGTTTTTGAATGTTGATAAACTGGAAATGAATGAAATGAACAGCTGTGAATAGGGAGGAACATTCTGGAGACTTGCCAACTATACAGCACACCAAATCCAGTGTTATAGTTTGCTTTGGAGAAGTTCTTCAGAGCATGTTTATACACAAACACCAAAAAAGGTTCCTTTTTTTCCTGAGAAGCGTCACAAAAGTCTGCTGATTCAAACACAGTCTTCAGATCAGGGTTTATGAACTTGATCTCCACTTAAAGCAAACGTTTGGTGAAAAATCAATCTCAATCAGGCAAACAGTCCTTCAGCCAAGACATGTTCAGTGTCTGCAGTTCTGCAACTGCAAGGCTAGTGTAGCTGAAAATCCAGGATCTTCTGTTATTCCATCCAGCATAACTGCAGCTACATAATCTCGATGCTTTGTGTTCGTGTACTTGCATTAAATATGTTTCATCACATAATGGATGGATAGTAATGTTTTAGCAGTGCTTGTGTACTTTTGTTCCAAGAGTCCTGTATTCTCAAGTCTCGAGTCCTATGAGACCAATATTCCCAAGGTCATATGTTCCCAACATCCTATGATCCCACGATCCTATGTTTCTAATGTCTTATGTTCCCAATGTTCTATGTTCTTGAAGTACAGTGTTTCTGGAGTCCTGTATTCCTAAGGTTTTATGTTCCCATGGTCCTATGTTCCCAAGATCCTTTGTTCCCAAGGTCTTATGTTCCCAAGTTCCTATGCTCTCAAGGTCCAGTGTTTCTGGAATCATATATTCCTGAGGTCTTATATTCCCAGGGTCCTATGCTTCTAAGATCTTATGTTCCCAAGCTCCTATATTCTCAAGGTCCAATGTTCCTGGAATGGTATATTGCTAAGGTCTTATGTTTCCAAGATTCTATGTTCCCAAGGTCTTATGTTCCCAAGGTCTAGTGTTCTCAAGGTCCAACGTTCTGAAGTTGTATTTTCCTAAGGTCCTATTTTTCTAAGATTTTATGTTTCCAATGTCCTTTGTTCCCAAGGTCTTATGCTCCCAAGTTCCTATGTTCTCAAGGTCCAGTGTTCATGGAATTGTATATTCCTAAGATCTTATATTCCCAGAGTCCTATTTTCCCAAGGTCCTATGTTTCTAAGATATTATGTTTCCAGCATCCTATCTTCCCAAGGTCTTACTTTCTCAAGGTCCAGTGATCCTGCAGTCTTATATCGCTAAGGTCCTATGTTCCCAAGGTCCTTTGTTCTCAAGGTGCGATGTTCCTGGAGTCCTATATTCCTAAGGTCATATGTTCCCAAGGTCCTATGTTCTCAAGATCCAGTTTCCTGGAGTCCTATGTTCCTAAGGTCTTATGTTCCCAGGGTCATATGTTCCCAAGGTCCTATGATCTCAAGGTCCAATTTCCTGGAGTCCTATGTTCCTAAGGTCTTATGTTCCCAAGGCCCTCTAAGATTTTATGTTCCTAAGGTCTTATGTTTCTAAGATCTCATGTTCCCAGAGCCTTATGTTCTCAAGGACCTATGTTTCCAAGGTCTTATGTTCTCAAGGTCCAGTGTTCCTGGAGTCATATATTCCTCAGCTCTTTTGTTCCCAGAGTCCCATGTTCCCAGAGTCCTATGTTCTTAAGGTCTTATGTTTCTAAGATCTCATGTTTCCAGGATCCTATCTTCCCAATATCTTATTTTCTCCAGTGTTCCTAGAGTCCTATATTCTTATGGTCCTATGTTCCCAAGGTCCAATGTTCCTGGAGTCCCCATATGGAACATCAAGAGAACCTATGAAAAGGTTCCCGAGGTCATGTTTAACATCATGGCAATGCAGAGAACAACGAGGAGCAGAATTTTCAATCGGAATGCACTTTGTCTCGGCTAGGCTAGCCTCAGTGAGCTAATTAGCCAGTCAAGCAAGTTATCAGAATAAAGTAATGAACCTGAGATGGTAGAAAGGGAAATGGGAGGGCGAGTCGATGGGGGACTGTTAAAAACAGTGTTGAAATAGAGGGTGGATGTTGGTGTTGAGGCTCATGTGCTCAAAAACTCCATTGTAGTGCAATTCCCATTCCGGGAAGTGTGCTTTAATAAGGCAGTCTACTTGGAAAAAGCATGTACAGAAACACAATTTCAGATTTTTACTGAATATATAAACAGAGGAATGGACATATGAAATATGATCAGGGAAACATGGGAACATAAGGCTGTTTTCCATGAAAATAAGGGAATATATGAGCCTGGAAACATAAGGTTGTATACTAGAGATTTCAGAGAGAAAATAAAGGGCACCTCGGGAAAATGTCCATGTTTATAAATAGATATTTATCTTTGTGTGTAGAAGATTGTGCAAAAGGAATGTGTGTGTGTGTGTGTGTGTGTGTGTGTGTGTGTGTGTGTGTGTGTGTGTGTGCAAGTGTGCACAGACTCTGTGTGTCTCTGTTTTAAAGGAATCTGTGTGTGTTTTATAGGGCTGTAAACACCACACCACAGGTCCACGCTGCGACAAGTGTGCTCCCGGTTATTATGGTGACGCCACCAAAGGAACAGCCAGCGACTGCCAGCCATGCGCCTGCCCCCTACACGCTCCCGCAAACAAGTCTGTGTCCTTCATTGAGTCATTTGACACGGTCATTTCGGTAACACTTTATTTAAAGGGTGTCTACATAACACATTCATAACATCTTACATAAACGCTTCATAACGTGTTCATGAATTTTTATTTAAACATTCATTATGCATACATGTTTTACATGATATTAATGTGGACTACTGTGTCATTTTACTGACAGACTTTTTTCAAAATAAAAGTCCTCTTATTTAGAAAATCTATATTATTTTCAGTGAAACGTCTCATTTCTGGGCAGCTTTAATCCTCTGGTCTTTAAGTGCTTTGACACATTTCACCTGTACTATATTATTTTAATGTGGACTACTGTGTGATTTTACTGACAGACTTTACTGACAGACATTTTTCAAAATAAAAGTCCTCTTTCTTATTTTGAAAATCTATATTATTTTCAGTGAAACGTCTCATTTCTGGGCAGGCTTTGCTCCTCTGGTCATTAAGTGCTTTGACACATTTCACCTGTACTTTCAACTTCTTTTAATCATTTGTTTTTTTCTTAAGTATTTATACTTTGCACTTTGTTATTCTTTCTCCCTGCCCTGTGATGGACTGGCGATCTGTCCAGAGTGTATAATAAATAGATAAATAAATTTAATAAGACAAATTCTGTTTTTTTTTTTACCTCAAAAGTGATGGAAGTTAAACCTACAGAAATGCATGTTATGTGGATCTTTAAATTGCAATGCAAAGTAGTAGTAAAGTAAAGTGAGGTAAAAAAAAAAAGTAGTAAGCTGTCCAGAAATCAGGCGCTTTACTGAAAATAATAGTTTTTTAAATAAAAAATTAACGCTTTTATTTTGAAAAATGTCTGTCAGTAAAATGAGTCCTTATTCATTTCATGTAACACACATATATACTTTATGAATGTTGATTAAAACATTCATGAACATGTTATGAAGTGTTTATGTAAGATGTTATGAATGTGTTATGTAGACACCCTTCAAATAAAGTGTTACCGTTATTACTCAGAACTGGGTTAATTCTAACTGCAGAGGTCAGTTAGTTTAATCTTATCTCACCTAATGTTGATTCATCATGTTTGTGTCCCCTTTAACTGATTCAAATCTGTCCCCAGAGTAGCTGCTAGACATGCATGTCCTCGCTGGTCAGTAAAATAGACATGATGTGGAACTGGATGTTTCTGAGAGCTACTATGTTTCCTATCACTGCATAAAAGAGGCACAATGCTGCCTTTATAGTGGTTTCTGAGTGAGTGTTCACACATTTTTAGAATTCAGATCGCTGTGGAAACGCTTATTGGTCTGTTTCATCTGAAAGTCCGGATTATTTATATAGTATAATTTATAAAGTTGTATTTTACACATTTTCCATAAATCTAAAGTAAGTTTCTTTATGTATGGCATCCTTTGATGTCGTATACAACATTCTAGACCTGAGAGAGTTAAAAAATCCAAAATAGTCTTAACCGATTGGGTTGTTACACTATTCTAAGGTTTTTATGAGCTAAATTTTTCCCTACTAGTTTACTGATACTCTTAAAAAAAGAGGGATCTTTAGTAAAGTGAATGGTTCTACTTAGAACCATAAGTTCTATATGGAACCATTTCATGCTTAAATGGTCCTGTGCATGGTGTAATAGTTCTTCAGACTGGCAGGGAATCTGTTTTATATGGATATGTATTGAACCTTTTTGAAAATGGTTCTGTGTAGCACCAAAAAGTGTTCTGCTATAGTTACAAACTCGACATTGTGTTGCTATATCAATCTGAAGAGCCATTTTACCATGCAAAGAACCATTTAGTCATGCAAATGGCTCTTTGAGTATTCAGAGTTCTATGTAAAACTACTAAGGAACCCTTGAAGAACCGTGTTTTTTAAGAATCTAGCATAACTTTTTAACTCAAGCGTTGAATGAAAGTTAGTGGGAATTTCCAATGTTTAAAAATGAAAAGCACTACAAGAAAAATGAGCCACAGTTAGATGTTTGCTCGTTTGTGAATTTCTGACATAAATTTATTTGTAAGATTTTAATTCTTAGTTTTTAGTAATTTGACTGTGAACAGAAATATGAAAACTGCTTTTAATACAAAATAAAAATCAACTGATTACTGTTAGCTGTTAATCTAAGGTGCACAGTCGCAGGCAAAAGTTTGAGCACCCCAGTCGAATGTGATTAAAAAAATTCAGCAAATAAACAAATCAACAAAACATGCGACTGTAACTATACATCAACCAATCAGAGCACATTCTGTGGCATTTCTCCAATTCATACCAAATATAGGGCCATGAATAGCTTAACATAAAATTACAAATATACTTGGTAACACTTTCTATGAATGTCACGTTTGTAAGCATCTATAAACACATTTATGACATGTTATAATGCATTCATAAGGCATTATAAACATGAATTAAAAATGAATTACACTGAATTACACTTTATAGCCATGTTTATTATACATTAAGGTTTGTTAATATAATGTATTATAAGTAGTGTTAATAACATGTTATACTTTCAGAGCCAAAGAAGTCAGTCCCAGCTTGGAGAGCATAAAGTAAAGACAAATACAGAGTTTATTTACACCCTGAGATTTCCAGTATTTTATTTGAGCGTGAAGTTACTGTGGAGTGAAGGCCTGCAGAGGGAGAGGTGGGATAGTAGAGTGCTGTCATTGTAATTTGTTCCCTCAGTGGTTCTAATGTCAAGCACTAGAACCCTTTACTCTGTAACTACACTACAGTACAGTAATGCTAATTTATGCTAGCATTCTATTGGATATGCAGTGTTAAGGTAGTGCCAAGCTAACGGTGGTGTACATTACCTTTCCCACACTGGGTAAAACACTGATGCAGCTCTAGTTTAAACTCTGACATTTGAAGCCTGTAATGTGCTTTACTGTGAATGTTTTAGTGTTTCAGTAAATCCTTCAGTAAATACTTCAACTTGAAGCCTCACTCTGAACACTGGAGGAGGCTTTAGTACAGTACGCTTCACTTTACTTAGAGCGGACAAATACGACTTATGAGCTCTTATAATTTGTTATGAACACTACTTACAATGCATTATGTTAACAATTCATAATGCATAATAAGCATGGCTATAACATGCAATGCATTTTTATAAATATTTAAAGCCATGTTTATGATGCCTTATGAATGCATAAGAATATGTTATGAAGGTATTTATAGATGCTTACAAACGTGACATTCATAGAAAGCATTACTGTATACTTTTATTGTAGTGAGCATGTCTGGAAGTCTGTGTTAGCCAAGCACCAATTAGCTGAATTCGTTTTTGCATTGTACAGAAACACTTTGACTGATTCGTCTCACTCAGCTTTCTAAAAACAACCAGACTAATTACTGTAACATTGCTAATGTGCTAATATCGCTAATGCAGCAATTATTGCCAATGCGATGTCGTGTTCAGTTTAGATTTCCCTCCGTGTCGCTGCGACAGTCAGCAAAATCGCGGCCGTGTGCTGTTTTCACACTTACAGTGCTCTAATAGATACTGATCTGCGATATATCCCTGCGATTTCCCCCAGCGCTGTAGCTGCGGCCTGACTGAGAGCGCTAGGCTAACAATCACTCCACTCTAGCATGCTAATGGCTAATCCCTGCCGGTCAGGCAGGAACTTTTGGCCCCGGGGGCAACAGAACCTGGCAGCTGAACATTCCACTGCCCTGGGCAGAGGGGCTAAAGAAAGAGCCCCCCCCAGCCCTGCATTCCCAAAAAACTGACCTGGCTAGGAATCCGGCGCTGTCGGAAATAGCCAAAGAAACCTGACCCTGTCTTCCTCACTGCATAGCAGCACGCTAAATTTGGGATCTGGCTCTCTCTCTCTTCCTCTCTTCCTCTCCTGAAAGTGTCCCAGAGATGTGGAAGTGCTTGTGAGGAAGGGAAGGATGGTGTTTTTGATCCGTTTCTCTTTTCTTTTCTTTCTTTTGGCATCGGCGTTCGCTCAAAAACACCACAGCTTCAGTCCAACCTGTCACCAGGATGCCCACGGTCAGCTGATCTGTGACCAGTGCCAACCTGGATATGCCGGCCCGCGCTGCGACAGGTGAGCTACCTGTGTTATGTGAATTGTTTCTGACTTGTAGTTCATAGAAATAAGTGGAGAAGTTGTTCTCTTTCAATCAGTGTTTGTATGTGGCCTAAAACAGGAGCTATTTTATTGTAATTTGAATTTAATAAATCGTTAATGTGCTTTTAGTCCGTTCTGTACTTTTTTTTGCCGTATTTTAGCCATTTTTGAAATCAAAACAGACAGAAAAACGGCAAATCTGCAGATTTGAGCTTATCCATACAGAATGTCAATCCAATGTAACTGTTATTCCTTATGTAACCATGCAAATCAAACATGTCATGACGTAATTACGTTGGACGATAACTACTATAAGCAACATTTTTACTTACACCCTTAAAAACGATGGTTCTTTAAGGGTTCTTAAGTAAAGTGAATGGTTCTATTTAGAACCATGAGTTCTATATAGAACCATTTCATGCTTAAATCGTTCTTCAGATTGATAAGGAATGTGTTTTATTTGGTTCTGTACAGAATCTTTTTGAAAATAGTTCTATATAGCACCAAAAGGGTTCTGTTATAGTTACATTGTGTTGCTATATTAATATGAAAAACCATTTAATCATGCAAATGGTTTTTTGAGTGTTCGTGGTTCTTTATAGGAGTACTAAAGAACCCTTGAAGAACTGTCTTTTTTAAGAGTTTAGCATTTAAATTGAACAGAAAAATGACATCACTAACTTGTCTAATTGCTGTAAACTGGACTCCAGTGTGCTGAAGAGTTTAAAATATTCCTCCATTTCTTCCAAATGATCACATGAGGAGTATTTAAGCCGCTATTGAGCACAAATCTAAAGACCTATCAAATTGAGTTTTTATCACTTCATTTATAAGATTCTGCCTTTTGGTCACATGACCGCTGATTTTCCAACAAAACAGCAGAAAATCCAAATTTGATTGTGAACAGAAGAGAAATTGCTTTTATTTCAAAATACAAATCAACCGATTTATGTTAGCTATTCATCTAAGGGACACAGTCATATGCAAAAGTTTGAGCACCCTCAGTCAAATGACATTAACATAAAAAATAACTTTTTTCTGCAAATTTTAGCACTATTTGTAATTTTATAAATAATATATTTATAAATTTATAAATTTGATTTGTTTGCTGAGTTTAACATATTGGAAAAACAGAAAATGTAAAATGTGCCTTCACTTTTGCACAGGCCACATTTTATCTTATTTTATGTTATTTTTCCAATTATAATAAATTCAGAAAATAAATCAACAAAATATGTGACTCTATCTATACATCGCTTTAGACCAATCACATCATACTCTGTGGCACGGAAAATAGTTTAATATAAAATTACAAGTATACTTTTATTGTCGCGAGCAGTAAATGAGACTCCTCAGAGACTTCAGCAGCGCTGGAGTCGTTACTCTGCAAAGGCTGGTACAGTAATGAGCTTTGTTGCTGTGTGAAGTCCAGGACGATGATGTAAAAGCTATATAAACACTCAGCTTTGTGGCTGACACACATTTGGTGGCTACACTGGCTCTGTGACTCAGTCAGACTGGAATCTTATTAATCTATTATTATAGTGCTGATCATGAGTCCACAGTGTTTAACCTTGTGAATCTATTTTGGCCATTTTATAACACTTTTACATTGATTATTAAAAATACTTTTTAAATTTTTAATACATTAAAAATACTTACCATGCCAATATAGTATTTTTTTTTTTCAGCACATCACCTGTATGATCTCACAGTTCATTTTTCACATTGATAGACTGTATCAACATGCTGGACCCCAAAAACACACACAAAACACATAAAATCAGATATTGAAATATATATAATATAACATATAACATATTTCGGTAACACTTTCTATGAATGTCACATTTGTAAGCATCTATAAACACATTTATAACATGTTATAATGCCTTCATACGGCACTATAAACATGATTATAAACATTTATAAAAACGAATTACACTGAATTACACTTTATAGCCATGTTTATTATACATTATGAATTGTTAATATAATGCATTATAAGTAGCGTTGATAACATGTTATACTGTCAGTGCCAAAGAAGTCAGTCCCAGCTTGGAGAGCGTAAAGTAAAGACAAATACCAAGCTAACGGTGGTGAACATTACCTTTCCCACATTGGGTAAAACACTGAGGGCAGCTCTAGTTTAAACTCTGACATTTGAAGCCTGTAATGTGCTTTACTGTGAATGTTTTAGTGTTTCAGTAAATCCTTCAGTAAATACTTCAACTTGAAGCCTCACTCTGAACACTGGAGGAGGCTTTAGTACAGTACGCTTCACTTTACTTAGAGCAGACAAATACCACTTATGAGCTCTTATAATTTATGATCAGTACTTATAATGTATTATGTTAACAATTCATAATGCATAATAAACATGGCTATAACATGCAATGCATTTTAATAAATATTTATAGCCATGTTTATAATGCCTTATGAATGCAATATAATATGTTATGAATGTGTTTATAGATGCTTACAAAGGTGACATTCATAGAAAGTGTTACCCATATTTCTTCACATGACAAAAAAATAACAAAGATATTATGATAAATGATAAATGCCACAGCAGCCTCTTTCCACTTTGCATACTTTTACGAATGCATGAATATGATTTTTCATCATCCTATGGTGGTTTTACTTGGTTTTTCAACACCAAACAAAAAATCAAAACATTTCAAGCCACTACTTTCGATGGACATTCACAGCAACGCTCAACATGACTTTGGTGACGTCTGAAACCAGCCACTCGATTGGATCACGCATGCATGATTGGCGACTCGTGAAAGTTAAACAGTAAAAACTGTATGACAATTAATCTTAATAACCTTTACTTGTGTAACATAATGTACATACTTTTATACAATAGCTTTGCAAAGTGAAGAAAACAGCGTAGCAAGGAAGCCGTGAACAATCTTCGTAAATATATGTAGCAGTTTATTTACTTACGCCAGAAAAGTAGTTCCACTGCAAGTGGCAAGTTATGGCTACTGTTGTCTCTTAGCAACCAGTGGTCAAGTTGAAAAACCATGCTGTTATGAGACGCGACAACACAGGTGAAACTTTTTTCAACCAGTCAGATTGTGTGGGCGGGGCAAACTGTTGGGATCGTTAAGCGGCTGATCTGAAGTTCAGTACAGTGCGGTTTCTTTCAGACTAATGGAAAGCACTTTATTTTGGATTAGATTTTAGAGGGGTCAATAACCCACCGATTGACCCCCAATTAGTCTCAATTTAATGAGATTACATTCAGGATCTGCTGTTATTGGCTGTGGTCAGGGGTATCGATGGATCTGATTGATCTGTGGCTGCTTCGCTGGCGGAACACACACTCGAAAAAATGCCCTTTCTGGCATCAGTGCATCTGGATTGTGCATCAAAGACAGAGCGCTCAGGAAAAAAGGTTGAGTTGGGAGTTTCTGTAGTGTACTGAGAGCTGATTGGTTAACATTACTGCTACTGAGAGCTGATTGGTTAACATTACTGCTACTGAGAGCTGATTGGTTAGCATTACTGTTACTGAGAGCTGATTGGTTAGCATTACTGCTACTGAGTGCTGATTGGTTGGCTTTACTGATACTGAGAGCTGATTGGTTAGCATTACTGCTACTGAGAGCTGATTGGTTGGCTTTACTGATACTGAGAGCTGATTGGTTAACATTACTGCTACTGAGAGCTGATTGGTTAGCATTACTGCTACTGAGAGCTGATTGGTTAGCATTACTGCTACTGAGTGCTGATTGGTTGGCTTTACTGATACTGAGAGCTGATTTTTTAGCATTACTGCTACTGAGAGCAGATTGGTTGGCTTTACTGATACTGAGAGCTGATTGGTTATCATTACTGCTACTGAGAGCTGATTGGTTAGCATTACTGCTACTGAGAGCAGATTTTTTAGCATTACTGCTACTGAGTGCTGATTGGTTGGCTTTACTGATACTGAGAGCTGATTGGTTATCATTACTGCTACTGAGAGCTGATTGGTTAGCATTACTGCTACTGAGAGCAGATTTTTTAGCATTACTGCTACTGAGTGCTGATTGGTTGGCTTTACTGATACTGAGAGCTGATTGGTTAGCATTACTGATACTGAGAGCTGATTGGTTGGCTTTACTGCTACTGAGTGCTGATTGGTTAGCTTTACTGATACTGAGAGCTGATTGGTTAGCATTACTGCTACTGAGTGCTGACTGGTCGGCATTACTGCTACTGAGTGCTGATTGGTTAGCGTTACTGCTACTGAGTGCTGATTGGTTGGCATTACAGCTACTGAGTGCTGATTGGTTAGCATTACTGCTACTGAGTGCTGATTGGTTGGCATTACTGCTACTGAGTGCTGATTGGTTGGCTTTACTTATACTGAGCGCTGATTGGTTGGCATTACTGCTACAGTTTGATGTCTTGTTTGTTGTCAACTGGTTCGCTGGTTGGTGTTACTGCTGCTGAGTGCTGATTGGTTGGCATTCCTGAGTGCTCATTGGGTGGTGAGCTGATCAGTTCATTGACTGAACATACCTAATACGAACCCATTCATTTTGGAAACATGGGAGGACCCCTCCCCATCCCCCGTTACACTTGTACTGTCCAAAACTGAACCTGACTCTGTACAGCTGTCCAAATATCCTAGTGAATTAATAAATCTAACATTTTTACACATTTTTCATAGCTCATATTTCACTAAACCAGCGGACAGAGGCGTCCTTTTGAGTGTTCAGGCCTGCCTTCGTTTTTCGTTTTACCCCTCATTTTTCCCTCTTCATCTGAGTTACTGAAGAAGATGTGGGTTTTTTTTGGAAGGTTTTATTCACTCCAAACCTCTGAGGTGTGGTGAAAAATAGCGTCTGGCCGGCAGAAACAGGTCCCTGACTTTTGACCCCTCTTCCACAGACAGATGGACGAGGCCTGGTCCATGGACCCTGTGCCATCCCAGCGGTGGCACGGAGCCTGGCACTGCCTGCTGCTCCCTCTACGCT